GAAATATGTTTTTGTCTTATTTTTATAAAATAAAAATAGGAATATTAATAGATATTTATAATTTTCCCTTAAAACCCATCCAAATGGATTGTCATTGTTCTGCTATAAAAGTAAAGTAATTCCATTTAAATATTGAATAAGAAACAAAGTTCTGGAAATAGGTTGGACTTTCCGACAGTTTTATATCAACATAAACTTTGGCGTGACCACGAACCAAAGTAGTTTAGTACACGTAATTAGAAAGTGTATTAGAAATCAGTCATAAAATAATATATATCATAAATTAGTAATTTGTGATAACAAATATGATGAATGAGAAATTAGTGATTAAAAAAAGATGATAGATTGATTCTGATAGCGGCCGTTACCTTATTCAAATTATAAAAGTAGAAAAAATAAAATAAAATAATAACATGCACTTCAACCACCCTGCGCAGAAACAGAGCAAGTGCGCTCAGGTCATAACCACTTTTTCCAACTAATATGCATAATTAATTAAACAATAATTTTCATTTTTTTATATATATAGGCGAGAAAATTATAATAATTTTTTTAATAATAAAGAAAAGGCTAAATAAAAATAAGTAAAATGTAGTATGTGAAGTCATTCTTCACGCATAGAATTCATGTCTAACATGACGTTATAAAGGATCTTGATCTTCACTCATACTTCAAAAAGATTAGTTTTACAATAAAAATTGATTACGGATGTTATATATGATAATATTTTTTCAATTTTAAAAACAATATCTAAATAATTGTTAATTAATTAACAATATTAAAATCTCTTACAGCATAGTATGAAACCTAACTCTTTTTCAAACCCTCCATAGAAACATACTCTTGAACATCTGTAATGCTTTACACGTACACATTACGGTGTACGTTTTGAATATAGTACTGGTATATCTTTTTCTGGATGTGGGGAATGTGAGACATTATTTAAATACTCCGAAATGATTGTAATTTCCATTAGTTTTTTTATAGGAACATAGTTAAGTAATATAAAATTTTTAGTAATTAAAAAATTAAGTACATATATATCATATAAAGATTAGATGAATTCAAGTATATAATAATGTTGCATTATTTCTTAACTTCTTGCATGACCGAAACTATAGTGCTTCAAAATCTCCTACGCGGATTAGTCTATGGCGGCTAGCCTTGGCATTATTTCGAATGCTGAATTAAGTAAAAGCCTTATCAGCAGTGAAAATGAAATCAAAAGGTCGAGTTTGTGCGGTGAAAGTGATGACATAGGTGAAAAGAGGCATCAAATTGAATCGAGGGAAAGAGGAAAACGCACCAAAGAAATTCAAGTTGATAAAAAAATCTCATAACAAGACCTAAAAAGTGGTAACTACATATTAATGGATGAAACCATTGGTATTGCGCGAGTTAATTAGCTGTTTATTATCTTATATATATATATATATATATATATATATATATATATATATATATGGTGGTGCATGTCTACAAATAAACACGAATATCTCTGACTAGGAAATTAAAAATCAACACTGTTACCAAAGTGCTGTAATGTATAATGTGTTACTGGGGGTGAAAGCAAAATCACAATATGCAATAAGTTTTTCAGGATCTCCAAAGTGCATTATCATATTTCACTCATTTTCTCAACTAGAATTTGAAAGAACAGTGTATGGCAAAACAATGACAAGAGCATTAAGAAACTATCAACCAAATTTAATAATATACAATGCATCTTACAAATCTATTTTAGTGTTTTTATTAGTACAGGTTTTGAATGTATCATTTGAACCATTATCACATTCTATTTAATCTTGGTAAGAAATAATATCATCAATAAAATATAAATCCAATCCTGATAAAATATTGATATCACTGTTAATTCAAAATTCTAAAATATTATATTATATATTATATTTTCTTATATATTGTTGAATTTTTTTATTCTGACTCAATGTAACACATAGAATTACATTTGAATTATCTTATTTTTGTTTTTAGTCTCATTTTTCTGTACTCGAACGGAGAGTTATGCACGTTTTTTGAGTTTGTATAACTCCAAATACGATTTAGTCAGTCAGACTTAACCATATATAGTTAATTAATTGCATACTCAAAAGTTAATCTAAATCCCAAGCTTCAAAGAAAGGTATTCATTAACCCTAGAACAAAAACACAATTGAATACTTCAGTTAGTCGTTTAAAACCCTAAGAAAAATCATATCAAAACAGATAGTAGCACAATTTTAAAAGAGTGATATGGTAAATGGCTTGGAAAATACCCTCCTTACGTTACGTACTCCATTACCATGTTCAAGAAAGATTTCCAATTACCCGAATCATCGATCATGGATACATAAGATGGTATGGTTGAAAGAAGAAAACAAAACGAGGAAGCACAAAACAAGGATATTTCATCTTCCAAAACAAACAAAAAGAAGATCAGCAAAATATATAACATATTGATTGATGATGCGATAAAAGAATGCTTTAAAAACATTGTATAAAATAACATCATACAGAGGAACAGTCTAGGTCATTACATCATCGAAAAGAATCTTGTCTTTACTAATTCATTAATTTGATTTAAACTGGGGGAATGGTTTAGAATGATTAGGTTTATAGTGTCTGGTGCAAATTCAAACTTGGGTTCTACGGGTGGTCACCGTACGTATGTGTATGCAAGGTGACATGGTGCGCAACCTAATTCTACGAAGTGGCCACCCAGTTTTCCACTTAGTCAAGTGGCAACTGTCAATTTTTCCACAAACTATGTTTGTGCACTCTCTGCTGTGATACTGCTTACGACTCGCATTTGGTCTCTTCTTAATGTTGCATTGCACTGTTACCTCCTCAATATACCTCTGGTTTCTTCCTCTTCTTTTTGCCCTTACTTTTACACCAAACACCACCTTTCCAACTAATCACTCAATTAATTAATTAATTAATTATTATCTTTTTCTCTAATCTCCTTTAGTCTGTTTTTCTTCTTCTACCAATTTCATCAAGTAGTAGGCCATGCCATATCATTCCAATGCTTGAATTCTCCTTCTCCATAATTCATTCATATGCAGAGATGCTGGAAGAAAGATTAGATTAACTTTGTCACACAATCTGGATCCTGTACGTAACATCATTTTTTTTGGTTTGCCTGTACTTGGGTCAAGTGTACTTAACCGTATGCTACAATCAAACGTCACTTTCTTTTTCACAATATGAGTATGACACGGGTGATCTTAATGATGAAAACAGTTCAGATAATTTTCCATAAACCATGCGTTTACAGTCTTTTGACTTTTTCATAATTTTGCCGTCCACCTACTAATCATCATAATAACTGTGAAAGAAAGTATTGTTATATAGTTCAGATCTTATGTTTTCACAACTACAAATCTAATTCACTATTCAAATATATGTTTCTAAATTTTAAGAATGAATTGCTGACCTTGATGTAAACTGTCTTAGTGTGAACATTTTACCCGAAGCTAGTTTTCGTTAGGCACCGTTGAGGTAACTAAACCTATATCTTTGAGCTTTCGTTCTTGTGACCCAGCATGGTGTGTTGTATTCCGTTCTTCTAGCTTCTTTTAGTTGTATTTGGGTTGAAGTATCCCTTTGTACTTCTATTAATTTTATTCTTTGTTGTCGATAAAAAAAAATATAAAATGCTTCTAAACACTCTGAATGTATTCTTTATCATTAGTTAAAATTTTATTAAAAGTTATAAAACTTTTAAGTCTATGCTAAATAGGAAGTGGATTTTGAATCCCAACCATATTATATTCAAATATGGCTACCCAAACAAATATTATATTCAACGCATTAAGTTCTTAATTATGAGTGGTAAAATATTGGATTAGCTTATAAGATGGCATACTTGTTTTTATTCTGTCGTCCCCATTTATTGTAGAATAAATGTAAAATGAGTTTTGCAAATTAATGCTTACAATATATACCAATATTTTGAAGAAAAATAATAATGTTAAGATAAGCTTATCCTAAAGGACAATAACTATTTATAAAAGGTAGGGCTATTTATATATATAACAAAAAAACTCTAAAAAAAGTTAAAAAATATTTTCTTAAAAACCTAAACCAAACACATACTGTTTAACGCGTTTAAAGTCAATTGAAAGAAAGAAACTTACATAAATTACTTTTTGTGGAACTCCATGTGTCAACAAAGTTTGAGAATAATTTATATACTGAGGTAAGAGACGGGAAGAAAGATGGAAAATATGAAATAAGAAGGATTATTCGATTAAAATAGATAAAAAAAAAAATCATGTACAGAAAATCATTACAAGAATGACATTCCTCTTCTTTTTCCCAATAAATTACGTTTTGCACACGATGCAAATTCGCTTTCACATGTAAAGTATGCAGTGTAAAGATAAAAAAAATGAAAATAAAAAGTAAACAATTAGTTCTGTCACTAAAAAAAGGATACACAAAACTGTCCCAAAAACCATGGTTCGCCATTAAAATTTTAAGATTAATAATTGATGTAAATAGAAATATATTTTGAATTGTTGCAGGATTTTTTTTCATTAAATTCTAGATTAAATAAACTTATATTTTATAAATTTGTAGAAATTTTCTCAGATATATTTTAAATTTTTTATTTTATTTTTCTTTCATATTTGTTTGTGCATTCTTTTAAAAAAAATCGTATTCTTTCACATTCATTAGTTTAATCATTTAACTTTAAGAAATATATTAATCTATTCAACTTTTGAAAGAAAAAAACTAAAATGAAGTTCAATGAAAAAAATATTGAAAAAGACTTATAAATAAAATTGATGTAATATATAGACAGGTTATAAAGCAGCTTTTTGGATTATAAATTGCTAAATATATTCACCGGTTGGGTATAAATATTAATGATGACCACCATTTTTTTCGTAGTGAGTTGCAGATAGACAAAATCAAGCACAACCAATTTCTCACTTCATCTCACACACGTAGCTAGGGATCAAGAGGTAGAAAGTGAGAGAGAGATCAGCAAGATGGGTACGTGGTTCACAAATGCAAGGCCCTATCTGCTGTTATTGGCTGTTCAATTTGGGTCTGCTGGCATGTTCATATTTGCCATGGATGCTATCAAGAAGGGTATGAGCCATTACGTCTTCATCGTCTACCGTAATGCCATCGCCTCTGTTACTCTCGCTCCCTTCGCCTTTGTTCTTGAAAGGTATCTTCAACTTACCTCCCATGCATGCGTATACATGATTTCAAATATACTTTCTGTGTCAGTTTCGCGTGTAATGGTTTCTGATCTTAAGTAGGAATTGAAGAAATACTAAGCATATTCAGCTCTACTAAAAGAAATATTTTTGCAGGAAAATTAGGCCGAAGATGACTTTCAGGGTATTTTCAGAGATTATGGCACTGGCTTTCTTCGAGTAATGATTATCTTACACTTGTTCAACTTCCAGTTTGCTATTATGTGTTTAGTGCTGTTAGTTATTTAAATTATGATGCTACTTGCAGAATAATACTGGATCAGTGCTTCGCTCTCTTGGGCATGAAATTCACGTCTGCTTCTTTTCTTTCTGCTGTCATGAATTCCGCTCCCTCCATTACTTTTGTCATGGCAGTCATTCTAGGGTAAGTATTCAACCAAATAAAATTAATAACACGGGAATTCTTTCTTCTTCTTCTTCTTCTTCTCACTTCTGCAACATTTTTTATCACATTTTTTAAACTTGCTTTCTATTTTTTTTATCTTGTCTTTCTCGACCTTCCACTTATATATACCCTAACTTAAAGCAAGATGCCCAGTTAATAATAACTTTTTATATACATTTCTTCCTCTTCTAACTCTGTCCCTCTTTCGAGAAGAAGCCAAATACAGGTGTATAATGCAACATTATACCAAAACAATAGTATTTACCTACAAACTCATCTAATGAATAAAAGAGAGGTTCCAAATACTCGTCCACCATGGGACTGGTGAGTAACGGATCAAAAGGCTTCTTTAGAAAGGTTTAGGTAAAGTCCCACCAATGCTAATTAATTTTCTTGTATTATATATACAAATATAGTTTTGAAGAAAAAAATTATATATCTTTTTAAACTACGAGAATAAAATAAGATTTATGAAAGAAAGCAAAATATTAATATATTAAATTTATTTATATTTATCATTTTATTTATTTTAACAAAATATATTATTATAAATAATATGTTTGAAATTTATAATTTTCATACATGCCATTTGGATTTATAAATAGGAAAATGATATTTGAACTATCTTTCTTTTTCAGCCGGCTAACAACTCTATGTATTAATATAATATTAATGAAAAATTAAACTTCTATGTTTGTAAATATTATATAATTAAATAAAAGCTGTAGCATGTATATTTGAGAGTTTTTGGATGTTTAAATATTATTTTTATTATAAGTACCACTTTAAATCATCTTTGAAGCTTGATATGACGTAACCTTGTAATGGAGTGATGTCCTTTTCCATTACTTTTTATGTACCATTTTTCTTAAAGAGAAAAAAACAAAAACATATAAAAACTTGAAGGGTAACCGATTGTAAATTTCCAGTCTCTTGAATCTTAATCTTCCTCTCAAGAAATTAACAGTATGCTTGTAGGTCATTTTCTATGTTTGCTAGCATCCACTTTTAGCAATAGACAACACACAACACATCCTCTTCTGATGTTTTAACTTACCACTTCCATGTCTACAGTTTACAAAATACTGTGTTATGTCAAGTCTGACACAGAGTTTTTATGTTTATATCTGATTAACTAAGTGATATATAATGACTGTTTAAAAAATCACACGACTTCTTAAAACATCATATAAAATTTAGTGATAACATTATCCGTCTCCCCCGAACCCCTTCAATAAAATATGATATCTCTGAATATTGTGCATGTGTGCGTGAAAAGAGTGCGAGATATAAGAGAAAAAAAAAAAAAACGTAAGTGTTTTTAATTATATACTTTATGCAAAGGATGAAAAATATAACTAGTATTTATGAAATATAGAAAGGTACTAAATTATAGTGGCCACGAGAACATAGAAAGTTTCAGCCACGATATATATTACTTTTTGGTGTAATGTTTCAGCCATGATATAGATATGCTCAATGCACCTTTTTTCTTGATTTTACCATTATGAAAACAAAATCACTAGTGCGCACACGAATATACACATAATAACGACAAAAGCAGAAATCTTGTTTTTTGTTTTATGGGTTAGACAGAGAATCATAAACATAACATTTAATATTTTAAACTGAGCAGATTGGAGCACATGAAGATTAAGGAGGTAGCATGTCAAGCCAAAGTGATTGGCACAGTAGTAACGTTCGGAGGCACCTTGCTTATGGCACTGTACAAAGGCCCCGTACTTAGTTTCATGAGATCTACGACCAGCCAGGCTAGCCAAACTGAGAACGCGACCAACCCCACTGGCAACCATTGGGTCATAGGGACAGTGTTCCTCCTCATAGGTTGTGCAGGATTTTCTGCATTTTACATATTACAGGTATATATATTGAAGCTATAATATGGTTCCATGCACCTTCCTACTAATTAAGGTTTCACATAGAACAAAATAACATATCTATGGATATCCTATGGGAAATTAATGATTGGTGGTTTGGTGATATGTAGGCCATAACATTGAGAAAATACCCAGCAGAGATGTCGTTGGCCACTTGGGTTTGCTTTGTAGGGGCACTTCAAAGTTCTGTTGTTGCAATCTTCGCAGAACGCCACCATCCTCATGCTTGGTCCCTCGGTTGGGACACACGACTCTTTGCTCCTGCTTACGCGGTTAGTGCTTTAGGATTGGATATATAGTACAGTAATAAGTACCTAGCACAACCATTTGGGCTGAAAATGAAAGCACAACAACCCCACGCTTTGTAGTATTGCTTCCTCTTTTTTATAACCTTGTACTTTTCTTAATCAGTGTTTTTAACCTTCTATTCATTTATCACAGGGAATAGTTACATCTGGAGTTCAGTATTACATACAAGGCATGGTGATAAAAACCATGGGTCCAGTTATAGTGACTGCTTTTAATCCTCTGCGTATGATTATTGTTACGGGCTTGGCCTGCATCATCCTATCTGAGCAACTCTACCTTGGAAGGTACTACACTAATTAAGTAGCAAATGCTACAATTCAACATGGTTCCCTTCTCATCTTCATTCTCCACTTTGTTTTTCTCTGCACTAACCACATTCAATTTCCCTCATTTTTGTGCTGCATTTGCATGATACCAGTCTTATTGGAGCAATAGTTGTGGTTCTGGGGCTTTACCTAGTAGTGTGGGGAAAAGCTAAAGAACGTAGAGGAATGATGTCACCATCCCCTGCAGAGGATAACTTTCCAGAAGACCAACTACAGCTACCAGTATCAGCTCCAAGGAATGATAGCAACAACAATAAGGCTTAACTAATACATGGCCATTATATAAAAAAAATTAAGTGGAAGGCACTATATGAAGATGACAAAGTCAGCAAAATTAAATAGGCTTAGGCATTGTCTAATGAGACATTGGTGTAGCATTTCCGTACAAGTAGTCTAATGTCAATGTCATGCTCATTACTCGAACCATGAAATTGGTGGGACATGTGACGATCCTTGAAATTCATCAATATATAATTAATTAGTAGTCACTTTTAGCTGCATCATTGTTCTTGAGTTCAATGACCTAATGAGCTTCAACTATTCATCACAAGTTATTTTACTCAATTCTGGCTCAATTTGGTTCAAGTATTACATTTCAGGGCTATAAAATACATGTTTCGTTTAAACTGAACTCTAATCATGTATGCTTCTATCATTCATATATATATATATATATATATATATATATATATATATATACACTCATTTTATTTCTCGTTTTATATCCTTTCTTGATGAATGACAAATATAAAAAACAAATAAATATATTTTGATTAAAAAGAAGATTTTATTTACATTAAGAAATGTTAATTCCTCTAAAATTGTCATTTCCATCAAAGAACAATTATTATCATAAATTATTCTTGTTTTGTCCATTTATCATTTAACCACTCATTAATTAATTAATTATTTATTTTCTTTCTTAAATAGCCACATGTTATAGTTCATAGTTGATCTAACAAGATACTTTTTGTGTCACATACAACTCATGGTTGATTGAACAAAATAAGATACTTTCAAGAAAGTATTAAAATGGTTTTGATTTCATTCATATTATTGGTATTTGGTTATTTTAATTTGGTCAAAATCAACTTGTTAGTTTAATTAGTGAATTTTATGTCGCAGGAGTTAAAACTATTTACAAAATTAGGATTGAGATTTTATGTACACGTATCGTGTGGGACAAACCCACTTCACTAGAAAGTTTCGAACTTAAAATTGATGAATCCCATGTCACATATGACACCTGAAATTCAACAACGAATAAAATAAAATTAATTCATAGGGAAGAAAATAGATTTATGAATGGAATAAAATATGTAGTATTTACAGACAAAAGTATTCGGTTATTGGGGAAAAATCAATATACTTTTAATGTCGAATCGGGATCAACTAGGACAGAAATAAAGCATTGGATCAAATGTGAACAACTTAAAAAAAAACTTGGATAATATATATATATATATATATTATTCTTTTTAAAAATAAAATATCTCGATATTATGTCGGTTATAATAAAATTATTAGAATTAATTTTTATATTTAAAGTATTATTTATTTTAAAGTTCTAATAAATTTTATTCTTAGAAGACACATTAATGATTTTAAGAGAAGAGATATATTTAAATTATCTTTGATATCAATTCTTAAATGATATGAAAATTATTAACATAATATAATATAATCAATCTAACTAATATTAACATATGAATTTTAAAATTAAATATATATTTTTATTATTAGAGTCAAACTTTTCCATATCAAACCATAAAATGAATTATATTTTATGATAGAGTAAACTACACTGATTATATTTTATATTTAGAATCGATGAGTCTTAAGTTCGAAATTAAATACCTTTTAATGATTTTAGTGTTTTATTTAAAATGCTTAGTTCGTGATAACTTGAGAAAGGATTATGTAATGAGAGATTAGATATTTGAGAGTAAAATAGTTAACAAATAATTATTTTTAGGTATTGAAACGTAGAGATTTAAATAATTTTGAAAATGTTAATATGGATAGCAAACATCATTAAATTTATGTACATAACACTAATTTGTTAAATAAGATAGGACATAATAAAATTAATGTATTAAAAGTACAATTTAAAAGCAAAAGAGTAACCATGTAAGAATTATCAAAATGGAATTTATCAATAACAGTTTTGAAATTGAGATGAGAGTACTGTAATGATAAAAACAATGCAGTATCAACATAAAATTAAATGTTACAAGGACATTCGAATTCACATCCTCAGTTAATCAAATATTACCTTTTAGATTTCTAGTTTCGAAGAAAAAAAATAGAGAGTCGACCGTTATTAATGTAGAAAAATGAATGCAAAAAAAATATTTTTAATAGTAAAAAAAATAATAAATAAATAAATATCATTTTCTATTGCGGTTCATGTTAATTTTTTCACTTAGTGAAATAGAGGAAAATATAAAAAATATAAGAAAAATACTACTTTATAAAATTATTATTTCTCTAATAAAATGTTCATTCTTATATATATATATATATATATATATATATATATATATATATATAATTTTAATTTATAGATGTATATAAAAGTTATTATAAGAATTAAATGAATAATTTAATAGATTTTATATATATTTTTAGTATGATATTATTTTAATAATTTAAAACTCAAATATTTAAAATAAAAAATAATTTTAAGATAAATATGTATATATATATATATATATATTAAATTATATATTATTAAAACAATCTTAATTATTTAAAAATTGTTTCAATCATTAAAAATAAATTAATAATTATATAAATAATGTTATAATTATAAGCATACTTAAATTTATTTTTTATTTATGAATTTTGAAATAAATATTTTATTTAAAAGTAATAAATATTTTCTACTCTATTTGTTTTTTCTCACGGTTTTTATTTTGTTAATGAACGGATGGTTAGCAAATAAAACTCAAGGTAAAAAATATTGCAATGAATAAATCGGGTATTACTGTATTTAAAAAAATTATTTACATATTCATTATTGTTTGCATATAAAAAGGCATTTAAATTTATGTTATTAATGGTTTTTTTTTTTTTGTAGTTTAGATCATGTAAGATTGTAATCTAGCAAATTCATTTTGGATTAATTAAATGTTTTTATTTTTAAAATAAGTAATCGCATATTATTTTTTTGAATCCAAGTAGTGTTTTAGGACCAAATATGTGATTATCACAATTCAGTATATTGAAGAATAAAAAATTACAACCCATCAAAAAATGAGGGGTCAGTTATTATACATGTGTGTTAATGTTTTTGATAAAGAATATGCTTTGTTACCTTTTAAGCCAGCATGACTCGTACGATTTGTTTTTCAGAGCAGTTTTTAAGATTTTAATACAAGAATAAAGGAATATGATTAATATACCTTTATTCTTATGAAAAATACCATGTTTTTTTATCACCTTTTTCATTTTAAAATTAATTTTACGTTTCTAATTTTTTTTAACTTATGGAAAGATATTTTAAAAATAAAATCACATATTAAAATTTTAAAATAAATAATACTTTTATGTATTTCTTTTTAAAAATGAGATATCTCGATGTTATATTTAATATAATAATAATAATAATTATTATTATTATTATTATTATTATTATTATATATATATATATATATTTGATTTGATAAAAATAACCATTTTATTACATTACATTGATGGATGAATTGATGTGATAATAAAGTAAATTCCGATGAGTGTTTGTGTATAAAGAAAAGAATTACGTCCTGTGATTATATAAGTTAGAATCATAATAATATGAAACTATTTTAGCAGCTATTAATAATGGTATTTTTATTAGTTTATAATAGTTTTTAAGATTTATTTTTTATTTGTTTATTTTATTCTTTAATTTATAAAATCCAATATTTTTTAAATACCAATAACTAAAAACCTTTGTATATTTTTAAACATAAAATTATATATATATATATATATATATATATATATAATTAAAAAATATATGGTGTAAAAAATAAACTAATATAAAATAAGTTAACATACAACATACCAGTAATCGAATCGAACAGTTATTTAAATTATATATTAAGTATTTCTATATATTTAAATATATAGATAAATAAAAGTTAATTATAATATAATTTATAACTTGAAAAGATTATAATACACAGAAAAGTAGCTAGCTAGGATAGGGCCGAACCTTATTACGGATATTATTCGCACACGCCCATAGACAACCCCTATTCCCCGCATCTACTCTTCTTATACGCTGCTGTTTATTTCTTCTTTTTATTAAGAACACTTACACAACCATTCCACAACCATATATCAGTATCATAAGATAAATAGTTTCTGTTTGAATGTTATTCAATATTTCCTTTTTGTTAATTTTAATTTTGGTTTAAAAACTAATAATTTTTTATCTTTATTTTTTTAATATTATTTCAATTTTAAATTATTTAAAATTCTTGTCTAGTTTAATTTTTAATCTATATATTATACTATTATTATTGTATTTTTAATGGGTATGTCATGACACTTTCTCTTCTATAATTTTTTCATCTCATCCCACGAACAAGGTTTTTCATGACTAAAACTACTTTAAAAGAATTAAAATTAAATCTATAAATGATTAAAATGAAAAAAATAGAGAGCAAAATTATGATTTTTATAAAATAAAGGAATTAATGAAAATTATAAGTAGGCTTGTCTTTTCAATCGTAACCGCTGTCGGGACGTATAAAGCAGAGAATATATATATAGGAAGCAACTTTTGGCATTGTTAAATTTATTCAGTGGGTGGATTATATATTGAGATGGAGAGCATTGGTTTTGCACATAGGATTGCAGATAAAGAAAAGCAGGTCTAAGCAATTTCCATCACTTCTCACACACATAGATATAGGTAGGGTTCAGGATCCAGAGAGAATAAGATGCGTACGTGGTTCACAAATGCAAAGCCGTATCTGCTGTTATTGGCCGTTCAATTTGGCTCTGCCGGCATGTTCATTTTCGCCATGGATGCCATGAAGAAGGGCATGAGCCATTACGTCTTCACCGTCTACCGTAATCTCATCGCCTTTCTTACTCTCTCTCCCTTTGCATTTGTTCTTGAAAGGTCTCTTCCCCATACCTCCCTTTGTTATCTATCCATGCATCTGCATGATTTCATATATATACTTTTTAACTCAGTTTGCCGCTTCTGAAGTATAAATAAAGTTAGTAGGAAGAATATTCAGCTCTCCTAAAAATAATTAGCTTTGTTTATGCAGGAAAGTCAGGCCCAAGATGACTCTTCGCATATTTTCAGAGATTGTGGCACTGGCTTTCTTCGAGTAACCATTATCTTATACTCATAAATATGCAAGAAAGTTAAGTTTAAGTTTGTTATTATGTGTTTAGCGAACATAGTTAATTCGACGGTGTTTCTTGCAGAATAATACTGGATCAGTGCTTCGCCCTCTTGGGCATGAAATTTACGTCTGCATCTTTCCTCTCTGCTGTAATGAACTCTGCACCCTCGGTTACTTTTGTGATGGCTGTAATTCTTAAGTAAGTACCTAATCAAATGACCAAAGCATATATAATAAGGTAAAAGTTTGATGGACACCAAAGCTTCTTGAAAAAGAAAAGCAACATCAAAGATATGAAGTAATATTTTATATTTAATGTTTTTTTGCTATAGGCACACGAATACGTGATATAAACACATCTAGTAATTAAGAAATCTGAGAAACTGGTGAGAATTATTCAGGAATAAAAAAAATATTTTATTATGGATTTTATATATTATTTAAAATCATTAAAAATTATTTAAAATTGAAATAAAATTAATTATATGAATAACTTTTTGAGAAACTTTTCAGAAATGAACTAAGAAAGTAAACTAAGAAAGGAAAGCGCAAATTTTTGTTTCCTGAAAGGTTAAGGAATACAGATGAGATCTTACATTTTAATTTATTACGGTAAATAGATTGGAACACATGAAGATGAAGGAGACAACATGTAAAGCAAAAGTTATTGGAACAATTGTAACTTTCGGAGGCACTTTGCTAATGGCACTATACAAAGGCCCGGCACTTAGTGTGATGAGATCTTCAACCAGCCATGGTAGCCAACCTGAGAACGTGAACAACTCCACTGGTAACCACTGGGTCATAGGGACATGTTTCCTCCTTATTGGTTGTGCAGGTTTTTCCGCGTTTTACATATTACAAGTAAGTAAAATCACATATGTATATAGTTAGCACTAGAATATATATTTGAAAAGTAACAATTTGGACCAAATTCACATATATCTATTGATATCCTTGGTGCTATGTAGGTCATAACATTGAGAAAATACCCAGCAGAGATGTCCCTGGCTACTTGGGTTTGCTTTGTAGGTGCACTTCAAAGTTCTATCGTGGCATTCTTCGCGGAGCACCACCACTCTCATGCTTGGTCCATTGGTTGGGATACAAGACTCTTTGCTCCTGCTTACGCGGTCAGTGTTTTTTTATTGGATGGATAGTGCGATAATAACTGATAAGAACTATCGTTCACAAGTATTTGGTAGAGATGCCAAAAAACATTGTATCAAATTCATCCAAAATCAAATCAAACTCTTAATCCCAAGAGGAAACACCCGTATGTGCTTTTTTTTTTCTTAATCTTGTCTTAACTTATTACAGGGAATAGTTTCATCCGGAGTTCAGTATTACATACAAGGCGTGGTGATAAAATCCATGGGCCCTGTTATTGTGACTGCTTTTAATCCCCTTCGTATGATCATCATTACCACCTTGGCCTGCATCGTCCTCTCTGAAAAACTCTACCTTGGAAGGTACTACAAATTAAGCAGCAAATACGCTTCAGTTTTTATATCTTTAAAATATATTAACCTCCTTATTTTTTGTGCTGAATTTGAATCATATATACAGTATTATTGGAGCAGTAGTTGTGGTTCTTGGGCTGTATCTTGTTGTGTGGGGAAAATCTAAAGAATGCCAGCAAAGAATAATGCCACCCAACCCTGGAAATGATAACTCTACAGAAGACCAACGACAGCTACCAGTCACAGCTCCTAGGAATAATAGTGATGATAATAAGGCTTAATGTTTTTTTCACAACAATAATAACGCGTAGTTAGAGTCCATCGCCATGATAAAATACTGATGTGGAACGATTGACAGGAAATAAAACTGATTTTGGAATAATATGAGTTATATATGTTTACATGTTTATATTATATTATATTATATTATATTATATATATATATATAATTTAATCAATAACAAAACTCAGTATATATAAATTTTTTATCTAAATGCAAAGAACTAAACAAGCATTCAGCAAATTAAGGAGGCCTGATGAGGGGCTTTTCACCGTACTGGGTTAAAAAGGGCTGTGATACCAGCATCTTAATTGCATAAAATAATACGGGTAAAAAAATAATAAAGAAATTGTTAAAATAATTAACCCGTATTAAATCTTACAAAAATATAATTATAGGAATTTATTGATTACCGTATATCATTCTCCTTAAAATAATAAATAGAAAATAAATAAAAAAGTAGAAAATAAATTGATGCAGAATAATAAAAATAAATCCTTACAAAGTAACTTAGATCTATATATTCACATTTAGTCAACTCTTCTTGGATTGATTAAATTTAGAGATTCTAAGCGTTAATCAATGTTAAAATCAACTGTTAGATCCAGTTTTTCATTCTCTTGACTTTCAATTGAGCAGAGGTTCGTTAATAATACTCTTCCTCACTGAGTAAAGATGTGTCAAGGTTCTTCTGCTCTATTTAAACTTCTAAGTCATTTCTTAAAGTAATTGCACTTATATTCTCATTAATATTGATAATTGTTTGCGAGTAAAGTGCATTCACACCTTGTTATTGTAGTGAATTCATGGTTGTGGGCAATTTTTCAATTTGAGTTTGCAAGTCATTGAACCGTTGTGCGTACTTCGTGTACTCGTGTTATCATCTGTTGTGAGTTGTTTCATTAGATATTCTAGTGTGACCCAGAGTTATCCTGTTACATAGTACCCCTTTGGCTTGCCTGTATTGGCACAAGATGTTGATTCGTCTGTTGTCTCATAGAGAGAGGTTGATACTTCTACTGTTGGTGGCCTTGATTGCTCAGTTTGAAATGGATTTTCGGTGGCTGGTTGTAGACATGAGCATATTTCAAGTTGGGATGGTCTCTCCAGCAAGAAATATATATGGCCGAGTACGGATTGTACTCCTATTGTGGCCTGTATGAATTTAACTGCTCTTAATGTTGTTATTCAAGGAATATACCAACCATTATTTCCCTAAATATCTCCTAAAATTCAGGGCATACATTAGTGGTATGATCTACGGAGGTGCATATCCCGCATACATATTATTGCTGTTGAAATATGTGTTGGTTTATGGTTAATTTTTTCGTACGAAAGATATTAGCTCGTTCAATATTCTTTCAAAGTCCATGTCCTCAAGATCATTTTTTTACTAGAACAACAATGGTAGACTGTGAGTAAGTACACCAAGTAGGTTTCTAGAAAAGAGAGATGAGTCACTAATGAACACGTTTAAGTACTAAGTATTTCCTAGTCAGAACTCTCCTAGACATATTCTCTCACACTACCAAGGTAGATCCAGAGTTTCGTATGAGAATTATTTTCAAGAATTTTCCCTCAAGGATTGCTTATCCAGAATTTCCTACGAGAGGGGTAGGGAACACACACAAAAAAATAATATTTTATTTTAATTTTTTTATTAAAGCTAGAAAAAGAAAATTATAAAAAAATGATATTAGACAATGTTATACAAAACATTTGTATTCTTGACAATTACGTCATTTGATAACAGTATTTTGGTCAATCAAAATACTGATAAAAAATAATAAACAAATTGTTAAACTAATGCAATATAGATAAAACGTGTTGAATCTCACAAGAACACAATTATAGAAACGTATTTATTACGAGATGTCATTATTTCTAAAATAGTAGATAGAGGATGAATGAAAGAGTAAAAAATAAATTGATGCACAATAATAAAAATTAAAATAAAATTGTTATAAAATATTATCGATAATTAAAATTAAAAGAAAACATAATTTAAATAATTAAAATTTATAAAATTAAAATAAAGTGTAGGAATCAAAATTTGAGTCGTTATTTCCATAATTTAACCAATTTCAAATTATTTTTCTCCTACACAAAAAAGAAATATGCATTATATATAAATATATGTTTTTATATCAAAATTATATAAAATACAACAAATTAAATAAAACTAAATTATGTTATATTTTTTATAAAAATATATTAAATACATGGTTCATAAAAAATAATTAACTTAAAAATACTTCAAAGTTAAAAAATAATGAATAAAATAATATATATCAGCGTACAAATTATTGAAGAGTGATCTGAAATTCTGAGTTCAATATATCATGTGGTTGTCATAGCAAACAATTGTAAGTGGCGCATGGGTGGAATTTATGGTATAAGCCGTATTATTGTTGCAGGGATCTGATTTGTGTTGGAGTCACCACATATTATATACTGAGTTTCTGGCTAAATTGCTTCCGTATGCAACTTTAGAGTATTCCATTCGAAAAGATGTGTTCCATTTGTTGAAGATTCTGATATACATTCCAGTTCATACATTAAGCATCGATCCATCGTTATCCCACTTGTTTATTTTGGCATACAAACTTGGCATTAAAGCCCAGGGCTCGTAAGAAAGCACACTTATTGTACCAAATTCTTACGCACAAAACTAGATGCCCAAGTACAAGAGAGTGCACCATCACACCACATGTAGAAATGGACCAATCACAATTAGGTTTTCATTGAGATCTTTTTGCCATTAAACACATGAAAGAATAATATAATTTGATGGAAAACATGATACACCAAGGATGAGCTCTGATAGATGTTTGAGATGCAAACGCAATAAAAGAAAAATTAGAAAATAAAAAACGACTATTTTTTATTTTTTGAATTATGCCATTCAAAATAAAAAATACTTATGCAGCACTTGCAGTGACTGCATGCAAAATTCTTCCTTCTTTTTTTTCTTAGAAGCTCCTTTGCAGTATCCCTAGTGAACATGTGCCTACCTAATCACCTTCACAATCTTATTAAACTGGTACAAAACCACTAACATGGAAAAGAAAGCAATAATTCACACACAAAACAAGAATAGTATCTGGGGAAAAATCTATAAACTTCAATCATTTAATCACTTTTTTATATTTTAAATGATTTTGCTTTTGAATTTCCTTTTCACTAAAGGTTTGCATACAAAGTGGGATTTTTTTTTCTTAGTTAATCAGAGACAAGCAGTGCACGTCTTTAGATAATTTTATAGGAATTTTTTATATTTTGAAAAACTATTATAGTCAACATGTTATTACACGTATGAAAATTGTTTTGTGTCCTAGTTTGATATGAATCACAATGGGTAATTTAGGATTTTTAAGGTTATAGAATCTTGTAGGAAATTTAGAAATTTAGTGATAAGGTGGAAGGAAAGAATTACTATTTTCAAGGAAGACAACTCACAAAAGATGTGAAAGTTCTTTAATACTATCTAATATTCTTGAATCACTCAAAAATTTAGGAGATTCACTCTCACTATAAGATAAAAGATATAAACTTTAATATTTCTAAAAATAAAACTCAACTTGTTATTTCGATAAAAATGATTCGGCTTATAAAAAAATATTATCATCAAAGTTACAAAGATTCACTAAAAGAAAATAAATGCTAATAATGATTTATTAATCTAGGAATTGAAAATTACTTAATGACTGGTTGTAACTCGAAATTATGGTAAATAAAAGTCAATCAGCTATGCACCTTCTTGGTCTCTTATAACTAAATTTTCAATTGAGCCCTTATTATAACTTGCAATAAAACTAAACTAAAATTCATTAATTAATTAATTTAAAACACAATTTGGTCAACTAATAATATTATTGAAGAGCTTAATTTATTTCTCTTGCTCTAATAATTGTTATAGTTCATGTTCGTATCATCATTTCAAATCCCACTCTTAATTACACCATATAATGTCCAATCTTAAAATGGTTAAAGTCATATGTTTTCTGAAAAGGGAATAAACTTACAAAATGGTTAATGCATTTCAAAACGAAAAATCAGCTAAATATAACCTTTACACATATATCAGTTTTTTTCTTTTATTTATATTTGTTGTGAAGGATATGACTTTGTCTATTAACAAATTTTACGAAAAAATAACTCACTAAATTTAATGAGTCTCTTCTTTCAATCAAATTCCATTTCACTAATGAGATTTGAATCTAAAGTTTTACTTTAAAAACTCGGACTCTGTTTAACTTTAAATAGATCTATTACTTTGATTATGATTTGAGATTTTTATAATTTTCTTTTGATTCTCAATTTTCTTTCTTGGTCCACCATTTGTATTCCTTTGCTATTTTCGTCAACAAAGAAATAAAATATTGTTTAGTCAATTTCTATGCTTCTTTACTTTCTTTTGGTGGTTTGTTGTGCTCCCCACTACAATATTTACATGAGCACAAAGGCAACAGATATGTTTCTTATTTAGCTACAAAAGAAACATGTTATTTTGTTGTGCAAAATGTTACTGTTTTTAATTGTTAGTATATATGTTCAACTAAATGTTATAGTTTTATTTTCTTTAAATTAGCTTATTTTGTTTTACAAGATTTTTTTTTCATCAAGATATAGGAATGATTGAAATATGGGCTGCGTATTGCATTTCCTGGCCCAAAAGACAAGGCCCATTAATTTGGGTAGTGTGGCAAAATTGCATTTCCTCCCTCTGATTTGCATGGGCCAGTAGGTTGGTACTGCATGGGGATATAAATAGAGTTGGAAATTCTTAATACTGCAGAATATTCTATAGTTAACTGCAACACTATATTAATAATTAAGGAAAACAGAGGGATTCCCTCAATCTTTATATTTCTTTTCATAAACTAAATGAAAGAAGAAGTGGGGTCTATTTGCAGTTCGGAACCCTAAAAAAACTTCATTACCATTAACCTAAGGGTATTAATATGTCAAATTTAAAACGAATAAACCAACTATTAACTAATGACACACTTAAATAACTAGTAATACTTATTATGATGACATTATGAATAAACAGTTCTAGCCAATTAATAAAAGGAATTTAAGTGCAAAGTGAGGATTATGTAACATTTAAGAAGAATTTGAGACTTGAAACTATTTTATAGTTAGGATATATTCCTTTCATAGAATTTAATAATACACCCCCACTTGGTAATTTGCTATCAAATTCTAATTAAAAAATAAATGAGTATGCATTAATAAATTTCATAGAGGGAGAGTAATATATATAGTTTTGATGAATCTAGTTTCTCTTTTTGAACCCACCATATATTCCGTCCTATAATTTGTTTTGTAATCTATCGTATTGTACTTGTCAATATCATCTCCATTTCTATTAAAGTGTCTTTTAAGGTTGCAATACAAAAATTAAAAAAATATCTAGTTTCTTTATTTATTTCTATTTGTCTATATTTATTTTACTAATTAATTTATATAATTTATTATTTTGTTATTTAATTTATGATAAACGTGTAAAATGATAAAAACCTAGATAATATATATATATATATATATATATATATATATATATATATATATATATATATATATATATACACATTAAAATCACAGAGATATTATTTCCAGTGTAAAAATTCTATCTCTTAAGAAAAAATATGTGTTCTACTCTCAACATCTTATATGGCATGCTATATTAATATGTTATATTTAGATTGTATATATATAATAATTTTGTGTTTCAGGTATGAGTTTTTAGATAAGTAAAGAAATACTTAAATTAATTGAGGTTATATATGCATGTCCAGTTAAGATGAGAAAGCCAGAAGCCCTGCATCAAAAAATATCAAGAACAACATAGTTAGATCTCGAACATGGTAGCTAGGGGCCATCTAGAAGAATAATATTCTGTGTTCTTTTCTTATTTAGTGCATTGAACCTTTAGTTTATCTTCATTCCTGTGATTTAGCCTCGTAAATCTTTTGAATATGAGTTAGATACTCTGTTCTTGAAAAATATTTTTCTTGTGAAAAAAGACACTGATATTATGATCGGTGGGATTCTACCAAGCGAACCTATACTCTGTTCGTTTTGCTTTTTAATTTTACTGTTACGAGTATATATTAATGATAAACATCCACTCTTTTATATATATATATATATATATATATATATATATATATATATATATATATATATATATATATTTGTATACCTATTAGATATCCCTTCGTTCTGTCTATTTTTCTCTTTTATAACGTGATGTTTCGTATAAATTTATATTTTTCTTTTTTAGATGTAAATTAGTATTCTGGGTGTGCATGGAACTACAGAATATAACTTTTAGGTTTATACATTAACCGGTTGGGTATAAATATCAAGATTGGCATGCATTAGTTTCGCAGATCAACAAAAGCAACTAAACTTTCTCACACATATATATCGTGTTGACGAGAGAGAAGAGAGAGTTATTAACAACAAAAGAATGGTTGCGTGGTTCACAAATGCAAGGCCCTATCTCATGTTGTTGGCGGTTCAGTTTGGGTCTGCTGGCATGTTCATATTTGCCATGGATGCTATCAAGAAGGGTATGAGCCATTACGTCTTCATCGTCTACCGTAATTCCATCGCTTCTATAACTCTCGCTCCCTTCGCCTTTGTTCTTGAAAGGTACCTTCACTTACCTCCCATGTACAGTAATTCATGGTTTAATATACTTTTTAAGTCAGTTTTACGTGTTTATTTTCTCGTCTTAAAAACAAGTAAAGTTGATATCGACAATATCCAGCTATACTCAAAGATTGCTTTTGCAGGAAAGTTAGGCCCAAGATGACTCTTCGCATATTTTCAGAGATTATGGCACTGGCTTTCTTCGAGTAACGATCATCTTAAACTTACAAATATATATGAAATTCAAGTTTGCTAGTATTTGTTTAGTGGACATAGTTAATTAGATGATGTTACTTGCAGAATAATACTGGATCAGTGCTTCGCCCTCTTGGGCATGAAATTCACGTCTGCATCTTTCCTCTCTGCTGTCATGAACTCCGCTCCCTCTGTTACTTTTGTCATGGCTGTCATTCTAAGGTAAGTGGGTAGGGTGAATCAAATAATAAAAAGCTTATACAAAACGATGGTTCACCCCTCACTGGGTTATACCCGAAAGAAACTCTTCACTTATCTTGGAAGTTGAGAGATGAAACAAAATACAGATAATGTATTTCTTTTTTTCGCCTGATTTAAGAGAAAATAAAAAGAAAAAGAGATAAAATTGACTTTTAAAGCTGAAGATTCGAAACTAAAATAAAAAAGAATCATTTTTCAACTTTAATTTAGAATTTTATCTGCCCTCCTGTATTCTTAACATGGTTGCAAAGAATCTAACACACAGCATTAGTAAAGCTTTGGTTCAAGTTGGTAAGGTGTGGTATCTGTGCGAATATATATGATTAGAAAAGAAAAAAGATCGAGTTTTATTTTTTATTTTTTAAATTGACACTTATCTAATATTCATACAAATAATAATTATTAGAACATTAAATGTATGTTATTATGTATTTCTTTTATTTTAAATAATGGTTTCTCAAACCTAAATTTCAATTCTGAACTTAATTGAGATTTATAAGTGGAATGTTAATATATATTTTTTAACTTGATATGACGTAACCTTGGAATGAAGTGATGTTCTTTCCTTATTAACTTCTCTTTTTACCTTTTTTTTAATTTAAAAAAAATAAAAAGAAAAACTTTGAAAAGAAACGAACAGTAAATGCCAGTGTTGATCGAGAAAGCAGTAAAACTTTTCCGAGTGTTGATTAATTGACATCACAAACATTCAATATACAACCAAAAAAATTAATATAATAATATTATATTATTTTAATGGTTATTTCAGATTACGTAAATAGTTTTGTTTGCTAAACATTTATTAATGAAGCATAAACTTTTTAAGCAGTCATAACATAAGATAAATATATATATTTCAGTGAATCAAGTTAAAGTAAATTAATAAAAAATAGTTAATATTTCAATACATTTGTGATATCAATATACATATACTTAATTTTAATTTATTTATTTTTAATCAATGACCTCTAAAGTGAGTTGACTTTAAAATATGCACAATATCTACTGTGTTCTTGGGATCTGATTCACAAAACAGAGTTCCACAGACATGTGAACAAGAGAAAAGAAAAGAAAAGCACATTTTTCTTTGTGTTTTTGTCAAAGCCCAAGGATACCAGAGAATCATACAAGTAATTATTATACTGAATAGGTTGGAGCACATGAAGATGAAGGAGGTGGCAAGTCAAGCCAAATTGATTGGAACAATTGTAACTTTTGGAGGCACCTTGCTAATGGCACTATACAAAGGCCCTGTACTTAGTGTTATGAGATCTTCAACAAGCCATGCTGGCCAACCTCAGAATGTGAACAGCCCCACCGCTAACCACTGGATCCTGGGGACATGTTTTCTCCTCATTGGTTGTGCAGGCTTTTCTGCATTTTACATATTACAAGTAATTTGTTACACAAGCATACGTACATACATAGTTTGTTGAGTCCTATCATGCTATGAATAGTTTGTTAAAGTCACATGTATATATTGATTTCCTATGGGAAGTGATGCATGGTTTGGTGAAACATATGTAGACCATAACATTGAGAAAATACCCAACAGAGATGTCCCTGGCAACTTGGGTTTGCTTTGTAGGTGCACTTCAAAGCTCTGTTGTAGCAGCCATCGCAGAACGCCACCACCCTCATGCATGGGCCCTTGGTTGGGATACACGACTCTTTGCTCCTGCTTACGCGGTCAGTGATTTTGATTTCGATATATGGCAGTCACTACCACAAAAATGGTGTTTTTCAACAGATGTTGAAAGGCCAATGTTAAAATGGATAGAGTTCTACATCGATTATGAACCTTAAACCTGATATTGAAATTACATTACAACATATTATTCTTCTACCAATCGATATAAAACTCTATCCACTTATGGTTAGAAGTGCATGGTTTTTTTAATTGTTTAACCTTATCTTAATATTAATTAATTACAGGGAATAGTTACATCAGGAGTTCAGTATTACATACAAGGCATGGTGATAAAATCCATGGGCCCAGTTATTGTGACTGCTTTTAATCCCCTTCGTATGATCATTATTACCACCTTGGCCTGCATCATCCTATCTGAGCAACTCTACCTTGGAAGGTACTACAACTCAATATGATCCTTATCTTAATTTCACCTTTTTTTTTCTTATCCTTTAGAAATATATTCACCTCATATAGTTTCCCTTATTATTGTGGTGAATTTGAATGGATATCAGTGTCGTTGGAGCAATAGTTGTGGTTCTTGGGCTATATCTGGTTGTGTGGGGAAAATCAAAAGAATGCCAGCGAAGAATGCCACCATCCCCTGCAAAAGATAACTTTCCAGAAGAGCAACAGCTACCTATCACAGCTCCCAGGAATGATGGCAATAACAACAAGGGTTAACGAATTTTCCCACATCAATAATGAGGCTTGATGTGGAAGACACTATGTCAAAATGAGAGTCAGAAAAATTAAGTAGGTCTCAGCTACATTGGTGTAACATTCCCGTACAATTATTCACACTGATCTAAGATTCTAAGGTCAATGTCATGAACATGTTAAACCGTGCAAGTGGAAGGGTAAGTGGCATGACGATCATGGAATTTATCATGTAAGGAGTTGCATCATTGTTGTTGAGTCACCTGATTTTCTTTTGATTCACGTTATATACTCAGTTTCAAGCTTATCCTGCTTACGTATTCAACTTTTGAGTATTCTATTTGAAAAAGAAAAAAGAAAAAAGAAAAAAAAATAAAAAATAAATATATATATATATTCTGTTAAGGTTTGAGATTCTGACACAAATCTAATCATAAATTTGTGGTACATATCTTAAGCATCCACCTCTATCATACTTGGTAACTAATTGGTGTAACAAAATACACAAGCCCAAAGGTTATAACAGAGCTATAGGCCCAACTACTCATAGAAATGGACCAATCACGATTAAACTTCAATAACTCATTCAGTTTATATGTACTTCTTTTTATATACTTTTTCAGCTAAAATTAAAGTTTTGCTCCAGTAGTTTGTATAATAAAAGTTTGTATTAAATGTTATTATCGATGAATTAACACTTCAATTCTAATTGAAAAACATTAAATAAATCTAACTTTATCCTTTTATAAACTCATACATCATTTCAAGAAAATTAAAAGCAATTATTAAGGTATCTTCTTAATTGTTAAACATACCATATACATTTTGTTGTCTAAAAAATATTTTTACATAAAACCCAAAAAGAAAAGATAAAGGAACAAACATTTGCTATGGCAGAATTTTTCTTTTCTTTTTTTTTTTCTAGACAAAAAGGTGCGCAAATAACTCCAAAGAAAATGTAGAAACAGATAACTGACAAAAATACACAAACTACACAAAAATATCTCAGACCAGAAAACTCTTGTAAAAAAATGAAAGAGAGAAACAAATAAGCAAGTTTTAAATAATGAAATGAAAAAATTACTTATGTAACATAAATTGTTGTTGGAAAAATGGAACATAAGCAATAACACATTCAAAACACATCCCTTCTAACTCAAGCATAGTTGATGGGTTTTTTTTTTTTACTTTATTAATTAATATTTGAGATTAAGAGACTTTAGTCCTTGAAACATAAAAATTTGTTCTGGAGACTAAATTCTGCATTATGCTATGTGTTTATAATATCAAGTGTTGGATTAGATAATTATGAAAATTTCAATATATATTAAAAACATCATTAAGATATATAGATTTTGATTCTATTTTTAAAAAGTTGATATAAGTTGTTTTTATACGTTGTTTTACTTATTTTTTTCTGTCTATGATGTCAATTTATATTTAGATTCTAATAATAATTTAGTCATATATTAATATAGAATATCTAAGACACTCTTCACATTTAAACATCCATAGAATTTGATAACCTCCATGTCTAATATATGCCTTGAACAGTTTGTTCAGGAAATTGCGATGATTACAACGTTGCTGTTATCTGAAATGACAAGAAATTATTTAAGATTACGACACTACAGATTCTACATATGTGTTACGTCATTTGTTTAATATTGCATTCTACATGAGCTAATATTTTTATTGGTATACATGTTAAGCATTACATTATTTCATAAAACACTTAACTTTTTAACTCTTTCATGAAGAACATTCTGCAAATACATAATTAAAGTAGCATGATCTAACTAATAAATCTGAATTAGTATCAAATTCATGATCCCAATATTCGGTTAGGAGAATTATTCTCACAGGAATATGATACCTGTCAGAACCCAAAAGAATATATAAAATGTGAATATATATGTATCAACTTGTACTAATTAACCATTGAAATGGAATCCATCATCAACATTTCTGCTCCATGGTTACAAACTGTGTCATTCCTTGGATATAGAATACCCATGTAATGGTTTCTGCCAACAATATTTATATAATATTTGTTAACATGCGTTTTTTAAAAAACTAAAAAAAAATTAGAAAATATTGTAAAAAATTATAAATCATAAAGTTGAACATGCTTAAAAGATAGCAATTATTACACTAGTGTTAAATATAAATGACAAGTGAAATCTCTTTAAACACCGACAACCCCATTTGGTTACCATCATGTCCATACAAATTAGCAGTCCAAAAGTTTTAAAGTTTTTACTTTTATCAAATATAATGCTTTCCTTTTCTGTATCTTCATCTGCCAATTATTGCTCAGTATATCTCAAATTTACTGTTCTGTTTTGATTATATTATATTCTAACTTTAACATCAATAAACAGTATTAGAGTAAAAATGTTTATCCCACTTTCTATTTTGATGATTTTTTTTAACTTTTAAACTTGAACTTAGTTTTAATATTATGCATGTGATGAAACATAAACTCTTTGATTTTATTTCATACTTTTTTCTCATTATATTTTTCATTTTATTCTATAAAATACTGTGCTATAAAAACTAATTTTGAAAACCTTAATTTTATGCAAAATATTAATGACTTAAATATTATAGCTTTTATGAATACTTTAATCTTAGATTTCACTATCTTAAGAATAATAATGAACAAAACCCTAATCAGATACATATGTCATTTTTTCAACGGTTGGTTGAGGTTTGACATTGGATTGTATGGACATAAACAAGTGAGATCCGTTCTGATTGTCAGCACTGATTTGACTTCAGACAGATTGATACATGCTAGCGTTCTATATTCTCATTCATGGAAGAATATGAATAAACCAAACACTGTAAATTCAACCAGAATTTGAAAAAGGAGATGTTGACAATTAGTTCAACTTATATATTATTCATTTTCAACCGAGATTAGATTAGAGAAGAGTATTATATCTTCTACCTCATTTCTTTAAACATGATTTATATATTTGTTTCTGATTTCAACTAATACTATAAAATCTAATCAAACCTAAGTTTCAGCAAAATTAATCATAAATTAAGAAAATTAACATGTGTTTAAGAGTGGAGGATATAATTTGCATAATCGAATAAGCAACATGAAATATTAATGAATTAGCTCCACATAAATATAAATACTAAGTAGTGTATCTTTTAAGAGAGGATATGTTGTAGATGGTGGGTGGGATTCCACCAACCTTAACCTCATTGCAAGATGGAATCCAAACACGAAACCACCACCTTTATTTTCTGGGCCATCACATCCACAAATTTATTTATGCTAACTATTATTTATATAATTAATTAATTCAAAACCCACTGTTTTAGCATGTAATCTATATCCACCACTACAGTGCACACATATGATCTCAAACAATTATGCAGCACAATCTCCAGTATAATTAATAATCTTTCTGCCATTGTTAACCATAGTTGTTATAATTAACAACACCATTCGTCTGTTTTTATATAATAAATTAGGTCTTACACTTTTCTTAAGGTGGTTTACTCTTTGAAGTTAGAAATTAATTAATCTCGTATCTATTGTATATAATATTTAAATATACATGACTTTGTAATATTTTTTACTGTTTAAATATTTAGATTTTTTTATTAATTTATATAAATAATACATCATATTTGTATAAATCATTTTTATCCTGAATATATATGACCTTTCATGTTAATCTCTAAAAATAAGAAAATTCAAAATAAATTCACATATGATCATTTTAGTTCTTAAACCTAATTATTTTTTCTAATACAAAATCATAAGACAAAACTAATACTCAAGTTGGAACCTATATTTTTTAAAAAGTTAATATTATTCCGAAACAAATCATATCTAATATTTTAAAAATTTAATAATATTAAGTCATCACATAACTTTTTAAATATCAGACTTTATAGTTTGGAAGAATAAATTAAATATTCACTCAACTTTTAAATCTATATGTGAACGTTTTCCATGTCATAAAAAAAGATGAAAAATAAGTGAAAGATATTTTCATATTTTCTTCTTGTTGTGATAAAAATGTTCATTCACACACTTTATTAATTACATAATCTCTTTTAGTTTTCTATTGATTCTCACGTGTTACATGCACAAGCACACAAGATTTACTCTTGTTTGAGTGGGTCTGGGGTTGTTAAGAGCAGATTTCAACAAATTTCATTAAACACAAATGCATCTTCTTTTTTACAACTACAAGATGCATTCTTAATCAGTTAAATATTATCATTATAAACATTTTTAAACAATTATTATAAATAAATAAAAAATTATAAGTAGATGGTTTATAAAACTGATTTACTTTTTTTCAGACACAATTTTTGTTTCTCTAATTATATCTTATTAAAAATTAATATGATAATATATAAAAAAAAAAAGGTAACCGGCTTGTCTAAAGCATGAGTTTTGATTTTTAGATTTTTCTATTTTGGGTTTAAACAAATATAAGTGAAATTCATTTATAATTCATGATCAGAGTATATCTAATTACATTTTAAAACAAAAACTATATGTTAAAAAATGAGGAAAGAAAGGCGTATTTTGTTGTAAAAAATACTACAATAAATTTATATTAACTTTATTTTCTTTCATTTTCTATACAACCAATATTTTTTTTTAATTTCTCCCTTAGTCTAGAGAAACCAAACATTGTAGCAAAATGAGGGTCATGATACAAGAAACATGAATGGTGATATAAAATGTGGTTTTGAAAGGTAAGTTTTCCGATAACTATTATCTGATTTATTTAGAACGCAACTTAAAGGATGAGAAAGGGACGAAAGATGTCACTCACATCCCTTCTCTTTTTAGATGACAGCCAACATAGATTTTAAGTGCATTTTGAACTAAACTTGAAAGGAAATTCAATTTCTTTTTTGTCAGAAATGGAAAGTTGTCTTAATTTTATCTAGTCTTCAAGTTCTTTTCTTTCTAAAAGGTTTATTTGAATCTTTAAAAAAGACGATTTGAGAAATTTTGTTTTCCAATATTCTTCTTTATCTTTAATTTATTCACTTTTTTTTTTTAACTACATCAGTTATCTCACAGCTAAACAAAATTTATTTGTTCCATATATTTTGAGAAAGAGAAAGGTGAATGTCTTAAGGCTAATTGTCTAACGCCAGAAGCTGTTCAGAGTTTATAAGGACAACATGTGCACCCCTTCTTTTCAACCTTTCATCTCAATCATATAAACCCTTACCTCAACACCAAACTTAATACACTTCAAAACTAACCTCAACCAAAATCTAAGTCTCATCAAACCCTAACAATAGAAGATACCTCTCTTAGGTTCTCAAAGCATACTTCTCTAATCACCAATCCTCTCTTAGATCAAAACAAAATAAAATCAAGTGACATTTTATTTACTGGCAAAAAATACTGATAAAAAAAATAAACAAATTATTAAACTAATATAATATAACTATCTTACGTCGAATTCCACAACGACACAATTACAAAAATACACTTATTATCATATATCATCTTTTTTTTTGTTAAGTAAATAGGAGTTGATGAAAGGGTGAAAAAAATTGATACAAAATAATAAAATTAAATCAAATTACAAGAGAATAATAATGATAATTAAAAAAAATTTAAACAACTAAAATTTATAAAATTAAAATAAAGTTCTTTTTTATTAAAATAAAAAATTGTCAAAATAAAAAATTATTTTAAAATAAAATAATATAGTAATTAAATTTAATTTTTTTTAAGTGATAAGCATAAAATTAAATTGAGAATTACATGCGAAAATAAGTAATAAAAGAAAACCGAACAATAAAAAAATAGATTAAAAATTTAAATTTGTGCATGAGTGAAATTACGTGAAAACACTACAATTATAATTGGAATAAAAAAAATAAATTGAAAATGAAAATTAAGTAGTACGGAAATAAACTAAAAATTTTAAACAATTAAATAACAAAAATTAAATTGGGCACTGAATGAATAAAATAAACAGAACAATATAAATTAAAAAATTTAATAAAAATTACAAATTAAATAAAAGAGGACAAATCGAAAATGCAGTTGAGATATATGAGTTCTCCTAACTAAAAATTGAAAGTAAAAAATAAAATAAGAGACGAGATAAATCAGTAGCTCGTGTAGGAGTAATAAATTGTGATTGTATTCTCATCGTATCTTTATTTATTAGGGATTGAATAAGAGAAATTAAGCATAAAATTAATTACAATAAAATTAAATATTTTTCAAATTAAAAATTGCAGAACTGGATTGTTGTGATGAGAAATTTTCAGAACTAATCTAAAGGAAATAATTCACTTTTTTTTTTCTATTTTGAGTGATTCAGCAATGATTTGTATTTAATTATTGATTCATGTTGATATTTAATTAAGGTAAATTGAATTATTCCACTAGTTAATTTGTTTGATTTAAAATTTCTATTTGTATTTTACAAGTGAGTTATACAAACAAATTTGGACTTTTAAGAAGAGTTAAATTTGATTGCATTAATTTTAGGTCTTTATTTCTATCAATTTAACTTATTTCAGTTTATTTTTCTTGTAAAAAAAAAGAAAAAGAAATATGTAGTGGATATATGCAAATATTTTTTTGATATGTTAAAATTATACAAAATGCAAAAAATTAAGAAAAATTAAATTATGTAATATTTTTAATGAAAACATGTTAAATACATAATTTATGAAAAAAAATAACTTAAAAAATATTTTTATATTAAAAAATAAAGAATAAAATTCACGACCACTAACTTAAAAAGTCGATCAACGACATGTTTGCAACGCGTTTGCTTTCTTAGAAATAACGTTATTTGAAATAAAGTTCAAACTCCTACTCTATATATAGGTGGATACTAATAAGTTTATATTCTGCTATATATATCTTGTAACCGTGTCACATTAATTATAATACGTTTAATTAAAAGTTTGAGAAACATTATTAGAATAAAAACAACTTCATATAGACTCAAATGCCACATAAATCAAAATAAAATGACCACAAGTGTAATTAAAATTTTAGAATAATACAAGTAAAAAATGTTCCATATTAGATTTTGAGTTGAGAAACCACTTGCAAACCTCGATTCTAATCATCTTTAATTTTGGGAGAAGGAATATATATAGCACGATCTGATAGTACCACACCAAAGTCAAAATATACATTATAGTGGAATTAAATCTGTTGTTCAATCTTTTTTTCTTGCTTTCTATTATTGTCTTTTTCAAATTAATTGAATAATGAAAATTAAAAGAAAAATAAAATGTTATTATTTGATAGACTTTTTTGTTATGTCATCATCATTTAAGAGACAAAAATAGGTATTTAAATTGCAACAACAGGCTTGAATATTTATGGTGTGTGGTATAACACGTACGTTGAAATAGAGAATTAATTGAGCTATTTAATGGGCATGTAATAATTTTGTTTGTGTTAATATCCTTGCTATAATACACCGTAATCCCAGTCCAACAAGATTTGAGCATGAGATTCTATTTATGTTATAAATGCAAATATGATTACATTACAATCATAGTGTTATATTGATCGGAACAAGTGGCTTAACATTGTTATTATTAATTTTTGATAAATAATAAAGTATGAAATGGTTCTATTATATTTTAACTGGGTGAAAAATGCCTTCACGAATGATTTTTAACTCATCCTTCTTTCGAAATGGTGTCCACATATACAACACCAACTCTTACTTAACACCACATACATTTAATTTGCTGGCGTCAGGACCAAGCACTAAACCTAAATTCCATTCGGTGGTCAATGAATCAAACACCTCCCACTTCCCATAAATTAAAGAAACAGAAATTATGTAATAAAGAAATATAAATTGTGATAAGAGGACAATAAAAATGATTTTCTCCATGAACAAAATAATATCTGCCTCACCTTTTCTGCTCCTCCTGCTATAAACTTAAAAGAGGCTTCTAGTAGGAATATGAATGTTTGTTTTGGAAAATGGGTGAGGGAGAATCATCGGAGTGGAAATTGAAGTGGGAGAATTAGTGCCTTGGACAACAAAGGTGTTGTGTGAAACGGGGTCTTCTTTTTTCTTTTTAAATTGTTTTGCTTTTTTGGCCTATAAAAAGGGCATTTCTCGTTTGGAGGGTCACCCACAAACTCACAAGTCATCACAACCCATAACTCGTTGGAGAGAGTTTGTGTGTGTTTTTGTGTGTCACCTTGGTGCATACATAGAAAAATGGAGGATCAAAATGGTGGTGGTAAGTTAAGCCAAGGGCTTCGGAAGTTGAAGCCTTATCTTGCTATATTGTCCCTTCAGTTTGGCTACTCAGGGATGTATATCATCACTATGGTTTCTTTCAAGCATGGCATGAGTCATTGGATACTCTCAGTGTACCGTCATATAGTTGCTGCTATTATAATAGTGCCTTTTGCACTTGTCCTTGAAAGGTATCTTTCTCTCTTCATCTTTCACTCTCTACATGTCTGTGTGTCCCATTAATTAGTACCAGCTTTTCTTGTTCCTAATAATTTCTTCCCCTTCATCACCTTATAACAATTAATAAGGTTTTTCTTTGGTTCACAATATTCCTTGCAGAAAAATAAGACCAAAGATGACTCTTACCATCTTCTTGAGGATAGTGGCACTTGGTTTCCTTGAGTAAGCCTCTTCATCAAACCATTTCCACGTATATACCAGATTCGCAATATTGAACCATACGTTTAATTTGTTTATTCTCAGTCTCTTCATGGACTGGATCATGCGTGATAACATTTTTAATCTCACATGCATGCATATATAAGTAGCTTAAAATTCATATTCGTTTACTGTTGTGTCAGAAAATGAGAATATTCCTTGGGAATAAATATTCGAACATTAAAATATTTACCTTGAATTTGATTTTCTTAATTTTTTCTTTATAAATATTCACGCTTATACTTTTTCACTCTTGCACTGTTTTCCTTATTTATAATACGTGGCAACCATGAAATAGAAGGTTAAGAATAGAAACACATAATATACATATCAATGATCTTACAAATATAAACCCTCATATTCAGATTCAAATGATGAATATATCAACAAGATACCTATATAAATAACTTACAAACACAAATATATTCCTACACCGAAAACACTACTTGTCTACTGTGTTGCCCTTTTTTTTTTCAGCCGGTATTGGTTGAATTCTATATTTTCATGAAAACGAAATCACTAGAGAAATAAAATATAGATAGATGTGGATGTGTAGATATAGATATTCTGAATAATCTATAACCCAAAACTAATGTAAAGGAGATTATTATCTGATAGTGACGTTCATAATGCTCCACCTTTTCTAGCGGACACATCACACCGAGGAAAGTGATACACGAGAGATAATCATTAACAAAATGCAATGTTTCCAATCATACATAATTTTATTACTTTCTTACTTACCAATAATTTTAATTCCTTTTATTATTCTAATTAAACCATAAGACGGAAATGCTATCAGGGCATTTGTGTGTTGGTGGTAACATGGTCCGTACGAGGCCGAATTTTGATAGGATATGAGCAACCAGCACTTGTAGATAAATAAAAATGGAGTGCGTTTTAGACTTAGAAAATAAGTATCTATTTCACAAACTGAGACCTGAAGATATTGTCTGTTGGAAAAACATTAAAAAGAGAAAAAGGGTTCATAAAATTTGGAGGGTATAGGAGAATGGAGGAGAGTAGAATTTCTTCTTATAGATACAATTTTCGTAGTGATTTTGTTTCCTGCCGCTATAGGTGGAACCTGTTTCATTTAATTAATAATAATTTTTGTGGGTGATGAAATGGAACAGGCCAGTGCTGGATCAGAACTTGTACAACATGGGGATGAAGATGACTTCAACAACGTTTGCATCCGCCACAGTTAATGTCCTCCCGGCCATTACTTTTATAATGGCACTCATTTTCAGGTAAACGCTTCAATCACTGTTCGCCATTATAATTAATGCCAGTGTATGTGCTTACGCAAAGGGGAAAAGCTGGTTAGTTGCATTCCACAGAATAATAATACGATCCAACATCATGGAAGCCACCCTGCATGCATGACAAATGATGTCACAAACTATTCTGTGCCATATCCACACACTCTTTGCGATATTCATTCTGAAAATATTAATTAAAGCTTGATTGATGAGATTACATGTAGTCGAATGTTGTCGCTTATGCAACTTGCATTAAACAACATTATTTTCTTTTGTCAAGACCTATGCATATCAAATATATTCTTCCATTCTTTTCTTTGTTATTTACTGTTGAAGATTTATTCTAGCGAATCTAACTAATGAGATGGAAATTATTGTACCAATCAGACTGGAGAAGGTGAACTTGAGAAAATTTCACAGCCTAGCGAAGGTCATTGGAACGGTTATAACAGTTTCAGGAGCAATGGTTATGACTCTGTACAAAGGCCCTGCCTTCCAAATCATAAAGGGTGGAGGAGCCATCAGCCACCATAGCAACTCTAGCAGTAGTTCCACTGAACCCTCTGATCAACACTGGGTGGTTGGCACAGTCTATCTTATATCAAGTTGTGCCAGTTGGGCTGGTTTCTTCATTTTGCAAGTAAGCACGGTCAAAACTTCTCATGCACATATCAGATTAATTAGAAATCATAATCAAAGCAACTTCTAAAGTACTTGTGACGTAACAAAAACCATTTACTGTAACATATATATCATCTGTTTTTTATGAAGCAATTAAGTAAAAGACTGTAGTGTGATTAATAATCTGACTTTGTGTTACTATTTTGTGGATTTAGTCATTCACTTTGAAGAAGTACCCAGCAGAGCTCTCACTCACAGCATGGATTTGCGTAATGGGTATCATTGAGGGTTCAATCGCATCCCTTATATTCGAAAGAGACTTTAGTGTATGGGTCATAGGCTGGGACTCAAGGCTTCTTGCTTGTGTGTATTCTGTGAGTACCTTAATTTCCTTAGTAATTAACATAAAAGCAATTGCATGATGATGATGATGATGATGATGGTGATAATGATTCTGCAAACTAATTTGTGATTAAAAAAAAAAATCCAGGGAGTGATTTGTTCCGGAATGGCATACTATGTACAAGGGGTTGTAACCAGGGAACGTGGACCAGTGTTTGTGACATCTTTCAGCCCTCTATGTATGATTATCACCGCTGCATTGGGTTCCCTTGTCTTAGCTGAGCAAGTTCATCTTGGAAGGTTAGTATCATCTCATAAAACATCACCATCAAACATTAATTATTAATATGCTAATTAAATTTGTTGTGTGTATTTAATTTGATTGGTTCTCAGCATATTTGGGGCTATTCTGATTGTGTGCGGACTTTACACTGTGGTGTGGGGCAAAAGCAAAGACCGTAAGAACACAACAGATATAGGGAAAGAAACAAGGCAAGAATTGCCAATAAAGGACGGTACAAAACCAGCGTCAGACATTTTTGAAGGCCTTGAGATCGATGTTCCTGTTGAGGTGTTGAAGAAAGGTGTCCCACCAACAACAACATCATCATCATGAAGGTCCTTTCATAGGACTACCGCCATAAGTTTTCCTTTAATCTTAGCTAGATTGGGGTCAAGAAAGATTTTGTGCATTGTGAAAATCTTTACCTTCCTCACTAGCTTCATTTTCACTGTGCCTTTCTTCTTTCCCTTTAACTCTATTCCGTGTTTCAGAGAGTATTTTGTGAATGAAATAACGCAATAATTAATGGTCTTTTCTCTGATCTTTGTCCTTCCAGTACTTAACTAGTAGGGTTAAACTTCCCATACGTAACATGCATGATTCAAAATCGCAAGTCTTGAATTTGACCAATTGAATTAAAACTATAAATGCGTGATGAAACAAAACGTGTGAACGCAGATAATTAACCACTTTGGTAACCTTTGGATCTATTTTTTTCTAACAAGTTGTAAAGAGAACACATTATTATTTGGATGCGAATGATTTGATCCTATATTTGCGAGCATGAGGTCATTCGGCGTATATTTCTATACCAAATGTTTGTAGAATCTTTTGGGTGCAAAAGTATTCAATGAATTGGCAACATAAAAATTCAAACACCACTCAGGATTTGTCAGAACCAAATTAATTATAAAGGAAAAAGATAAACTAAACGAAGAGATTCTTTGAAGAAACTGTTTAAACTGATATGTGTCGAGATTTTAGTAAAAACAAACATTTTACTTTATCCTCCTAATTATGGTCAAATAGTAATAATCTTGGTTAAACCACATATTCCGTGCATTTGTTTTTTCTGAATATTTTTGGTATCATTCAACGCTATTAACTATAAAAAGAGTAATTTCATATCTTTTAGAAAAACTTATAATAAAGTAATTAAATAAATATATTTAATGTCGGTAAAAAATAAAAATAAAAAATACTTCTTTTATAAAACAAATATAAAAGAGATTAGAACATCTTGAATATGTTTAAGAATGTTACATGAGATGATAAAGTGCTTAATTTTTTTTATAATTATATCATCAAATAAATTATAAAAATATACAAAACAAAATAAACTATAAAAAATCTATAAAATATATTAAAAAACTTTAATAAAGTAAAATTAATTATAAATTACTTAAAAATAATATATTATTATAAATCTATATTTTACATCTTTTAAATTGAAAAACAAGTCACTAAAGATGAGAAGAAGTTTAAAAGGTTTGCAAACTTGCCACTTGTAGAGAAAGATCACCATGTAGAAAGATTGATTTAGTATTTATTATAAATTTGACATTGTGTGAATTTTTTTTCCTACAACTTGTTTGAATATTTTTTTTATAATAACTTTTAAAAAGAAAAACTAGAAAGAAAACTAAGTAAATAAATATTTTTTAAATTAGTTTATATATAAATTAATTTATAAAAAAATCCATATAATTTTCTAAAATTTAATTTTAAATTTATGAGGAAGTTTTTATTTTATTTTATGAAAAACTTGTTGAAACATTCCATAATTAAGTTTAAGGTTATAATTTGTTTTAACTTATACATAAGTAATCTAATAAGCTACTCAATCTATTACACACACATAAAAACTTGTTACCTAGTTCACCAATGAAACTGACATATTTAATTATAAATTATTACTAATAGTTATCATTTATATATAATTTTTAAAGTATTTTAATATGATTATTTAAAATTTAGTATGCCTTTTTAATTTTAATTGTGTTTATAATATTTAAATAAATTATTCTGCATGTTTAAAGTTAATTTTAACTTCTTCTTGCACTTTACTTTTTGTTTTTTTTATTATTTAAGACATTAATTAAGCAATTAAATCTTGAAGGGAATTACGAATTTTCCTAAATATCAAAATAGAGAAAATAAAATTTATCATATGAGATTAACCTGTCCAAATTTTAATATAATATTTAACGTTAATAACATCATAAAATTTATTATGACTATTGTAGCTACGGAGACATGATAGCTAGACAACTAATCGAGATATTAGGTACTTATACAAATATAATCGATAAAATAGCACGTATATATTCATATATGAGATACTCAACACGAGATCATAATTACAATAAAATTAAAATAAAAATAAAATATCTCGTATAATTATGCTTAAATATTATCATAAATATTTTATGTTTTTTTACTATTTATTATTATATTTTGATTCTTATTTATTATTCATTAACTTTTTCACTTAATTAATATTAAAAAGTTTTTATAGGTGATTCCCTTTTCATCCTTAACATATTTAAAATCTCCTCAAAAATACATCATAGAACAATTCACTAAATCTAAATAAGATAAATTATAGATAAAATAATTATATAATTATATTAAGAGACATGATTATCAACTCTATATATAATAATAATAATAATAATAATAATAATAATAATAATAATAATAATAATAATAATTTAATAATAGACTTGTTAAACTTAGTAATAATATTTATTATAATCGTATCATTAACTTGAAAATTAAAATTATGAAAATCTGTATTATGTAATAATAATTTTATGATAAGATTTATTTTAATTTAATATTAGTATTGTCTTATTCTTCTGATTTATTTATTAAACAATTAATTAAAATACCACTTATATGTAGATTTTTGTTCAATTTTTGTCCGTTCTTCATCGAAATTAAACTCATTTTTATTACTAATTACCGCTCAACTTTTAAAATTTAAAGGTTCTATATCAATGAAAGAACTCAATCCAAAACATTTATTTTTTTATAAAAATACTTATCTCTTTCTATTTCTACAATTATTTACTCATCAATATTCTGAAGCAAAATTATTAATTGGAGAATAAGATGAGAAAACATGAATTATTAATTTGATATGAATTGGTCCTACATTGGGCATGTCTAAGGATTTTTTATTTTTTTTGTTGCAAAATATTGTAGGATTTGGCAATGTGGTTTTCGTGTCAGCAATTCCATTATGGATACAACCAAGAGAATCAAATTCAGATTCCTTCCAACTTAATTCTGTCACAAAGATTCCCTTCCAAACGTGAGGGATCTCTGTTCTACGCGCCCCATGCAGTAAGACAAATACCACTGAATAGATAAACATAAGAAAAATAAAATATTTTCAAAAAATTTGAGCTTTTAATTTAATTTTTTAAAACGAAATCACTTCTAATTAAAATCATCTAAACTAAATTGCAGTAATAGTATTGAAAATATACATTAAATTTAGTAATAATTCAGATAATTTGAATAATTCATTATTTTGCTTCACTACTATTCCAGTTGATGGGTTACTTTTCCAATGTCCATGGGGTTGTAGGGCATGAGATTGATTAGGGCATGAGATTGGCACTCACAGTTCAGGACTCTCTTTTTGTTGTTTCCCTGTCATCCCCCAAATTGTTTTGTTCCATTGGGAGTGGGCAAATTTAAGACATAAGTGGATAGGATATGCATGCATCATTCTCACAATCTCAAATGAATTATATCAGCATTGGAAATCAAAATGCTGGATAATCAATTACTAAAAGTATTAGATACACTAGATTGATCACTAGAACTTTAAGCATAAGCTACAACAATTATTTAGATTCTAAGTTGAATATTTGCACCCCAAATGGGTGGATGGTTTTGCTAGGTAAATCCCTGTTATGATCTTGATTTTAATTTTAAGTATCAAACATAAATATAATCTCATTCTCATAAACATGTTGTAAATTGAATGTAAAAGTGTACTTGAATTAGCTATAATGATGATATTCCTTTTTGAGCAATATTGATCTTATGGTCTTCCACCTGAAGAGCAACTGTATTTTTCTATGAATTTTCTCTCTTGATGGGGATAAAAAGAAAGGAACGAGATTTATACTTATGTTCTATGTGCGCTCCCAAAAAAGGACTATGACCCTTTAAATAACCAGAATTAGGTTAATTATTTAAGTTTTAGTATTTTCAATTTAGTCCCTCATCAAATTAAAAATTATTATATGATCTCTACACAATTTTATTTTCATGACATATGTCTTTAGCCAAAACTTTAATTTAGTCATATCACTTTATTATTTGACTTAATAAATAATGATGCTAACATATTTAAATTATGTATTATATATATACATGACCCAAAATTTGTCAAAGTTTCATTCCCTTTTGTTATGTAATGTCTTAGCTACAACTCCCTTCTTGCACTTTTGAAGTTCTCTCAGTTTTCTTGAATTCCAACCCAACGTGATAGATCAGTGCTAATGCTTAATGCTCATGAATGATGGATGTGTTATAATATGCTTTAATACTAAAGTAGAATTGGATATACATTACTTAATTGGACACAAACTTGTGATAAATTAAGATGGCGATTTTATTATGTTCTTTGGAGTTTGAAGGAGACACTATGGCTACGATGGCCATATAAGATGATGCATATATCTATTATTGTTGAAGATTAAAGTGTGCACGCCCAGACAGAAAGAAATTTGACGCTACCTACTACTTTAACACTCACTTTTTGACTGGAATAAAGACCACAAGATAATAATGGCTTTACAATTGTTTAACGTCAAGAAAGTCCAAAAAAACTCCAACTTCAAAATACCTAGTCACCAACACCACTTTTTGCATGAGCAATCTCATGGTAATGCCCCCAAACGAAATCTAACATTATTGAGCGTGAGCTTCTGTGTTACGTTTTTCCTCATAAAGTTTGTGTTCTGTGGCACGTATTTTATATGGGTAAGGAAAACAATTCTCAAAAGTTTAAATCACATCACACATATATAAGTTTAATTAATTTTCTGATTGCATCCAAAAGCTCTTATCAATTTATTTTTATTTATTTTCTTTTTCCTACTTTATTATTATTATTTTTTTTTTTGCATAATGCTTACTCTTTAATTTAGTGCACCGAAAAATATGTGCTTCTTTTTCAGTGGCACAGCCATATTTAAATGAACATCAACATCTACTCTTTAAGCTAATACCCTTTACAAATTATTTTAGATGATTGTAGGGGAGAAAAGTATTTCTTGCATACGTAATATATAGTATGTAATTGTTTGCTATACCAATTTATTTTTACATTTAACCTATTGGTTTCAAAGCTAGCCATGAAGTTACTAACTATATATATATATAACGCTTTAGACTAAGCAAAACTTCGATTCTAAACATTTATATTATTAATACATGCACCTGCACTTCGGGAAAAAAAAAAAGTAAATAGTTTGAATATTCAAAGTTTATCATCGCACTTTTAAAGTGTCATTCAAAAGAAACAATAACTTTTAAAAAGTAGTTAGATCGATTTGAAAGAAAACAAACACTTGCATTTAATATTCACGCTATGTGCAAAGCCAGTCACACACAAGAACAGATTATATCTTAGAAAAAAAAAAAAAAAAAAACTTAACAATGTTTTTTCCTCTTACAATTTTCAATATGTATATTTTTTTAATTGTCTCCATTTAGTTTTCCTATTTTTAAAATTAAGAAAGTGTAAATCATTTAGTTAATCATTTGTAGACTTTAATATGATACGATGGACTATATCACAATACTTTGATACTAAGATGTTATAATATTATAGCATGACAATTTCACTTGGTCTTATAACTTAAATAGAATTTCTAGTCAAAATAATAATTAAAAAATCTGATATTAGCATGACATTTCACCTGGTGTCGTTAATTGAATATAACCTAAACTAAGATTTCTTGTCAAATTAATAATTAAAGAAAATATATTTTTAAAACATAATAGAAAAAATATATTTATGAAGGTGGGGTGATTTTGGTTAGGTAAACTGTTTCTTATTAGATTTTTTATTATTAAAAAGCATCTCTAACTGGAATAAAATATTAGATTTTAAGTAATTTTTTATTGAAAGAAGACATGATAAATTATTTATAAAAATAGACAAAACAAAATAAACGAGTGATAATAAAAAATGATTTTTTTTTAATTTATTAAAAATATTTCTAATAGCGTAAAATTAAATATTTATATTTTATATTTTTCAAGATAAAAAGTAACTTTTACTCCCGATGAAAATGTCTAAGAGGTATTAACTCAAATGACATTTCCTTCTTAAAAATATTCATAGCGAATTTGAATCAAATTAAGGAAAAAAATAAACCAAATGAACCTCATTAAAAATAAATTGATTTAGATCAAATCACTATATAAATAAGTAAATATTTGTTCTGAAAAAAAAAATTAAAAATCCACACATAATTCTATCGCTAAAAAGTACAAACAATTTTATTATAGTTTTTTTACATCAATCAAATAGTATTGAAAATTACAAAATATATATATATATATATATATATATATATGTGTGTGTGTGTGTGTGTAAATAAATAACATATCTTAAAATGTCATGTGTAATAATAATAGAAAGACACATTTAGTTTGGTTCCGATTGGTAGGATTTGTAAATCGCTTATTTTATAGCGAATCAATTAAGCTAAAATTCAAATCAATTTAATGGGTTCAATAAATATTCTCAAGTTAACCGAGACCAATAAACACTCTTAATCCCCGCCCAAATATTTGCCTTATTAAGAGACATTAACTTGTTTGAAAAAGGAAACTAGGAAGATACGAGATGCCAAATTACCTGTTATTTTTAGAATTTGATGTAGATTTCAAACAATGCGAATCATTTGTTACAGTTTTTTTCCCAAAACATGTTATTAGGTGTGACTTGTTTTTAAAACCATACTACTAATATGAATTATCCATCATTACAACTTTGAATATAACTAATTAAAGTTAATAAAATTATGACTTCCCTTTTTTTGTCTTTAAACCAAGATCATCACATCATTCCGAAGAACCAAGCTCAGACTTTTGGAGATACAAACTTTCACACAGTACAGCCTGAACCATTTTCTGTTACAACGCTAACATGACTTGCTAGGCCACAGATATGAATAAAAATCATTTGATAACGCCATTGTTGGCAACTCATATTTTAGAATGATGACCTTTAAGGGGGCTAAAAAGGCTGGGTCTATGACAAATACTCCCCATCCAACGAGCCAAAAATACAATCCAATGAAGTCAAACTAAATAACCCGAATCCACCGTCTGGGTTGAAAATTGAGGTTTTGATTAAAAAAAATCTTAAAGGGGAATAATGTATTTTAACAAAAGAGTTTAAGGAATGAGCAAAGTTGTATTTTCCAAACTAATCTAATGCTTTAAACAATTAAATTTCATATCAATTCTCAGGTTTGGCTTAGGAAGTTAAACAGAACTTAAATTTGACAAATTTCAACATGCTGCCCCTTACGATTGAGATGAGGTAATCTAACAATAAACGCGTTTCAAGGGGGGAATAGAAATATACTAAATTAAAATCAATACTGTCAAAGCAGAAGTTCCTATCAGCTGACCAAGGAAGAAACTAAATTAATACTTCTGCACCTAGCAACAAGTACTGGTCATTACCACATGCATATTTTGGAACACCAGAAAATAAAAAGGGCAAAAGAGCAAACACACTAATTATACACCATCACCTCCTAATTAATTATGAAAAAATTGCCTTGATTATTGTGAAATCTCCGAGTTCAATCACTGTCCTCTTCATCTGCATAAAACAGACAATGTTAAGGACAATCAAATCATGAAAAAGCAAAAGTCGAACACATTGTCATAGGGAAGATAATTCACCACAGTTTTACACCTGTTACGTAAAACTGCTTCACAATAAACTGAGAAATAATAAGGGCAGCTCACTTTTTCCTCTCTGTTATATTATAGCTTAGAGATAACTACGGAAGGAAATTGGGTAACAGGATACTAAAAGAAGGATCTATAAAAATGAAATGCAAGAATGAACCCAAAATCTTTCATCACCCACAACTATTAGAAACTAAAGGGAAAACTTGAAAAGAGACTTCATTTTCCAAACAAAGATACTTTAACTGTCGTGTGATTAGCTGCCATTGTCTATGTTGTGTTCACATATTCATAAGGCCTTATTACTAATCAAGGATATGCTCAATCCAAGTGTGTCCTATACAAAGACCTTGTCAAAATTCAGTAATGATGATGACTAATATCCCCATATTTTAAATATTATTGTCAACATCAGATAGATATCAAATAGAACTTAAGTTACAAAGGATGGCCCAATGCTATAAAATGTTGAAATCATTAACACCTACTGTCAAATGGGAACTTAAGTTACAAGAGTAATCTCACTTTGGATATGGAATAAATGATGCTAAAACAAATATACCTACTGTTCATGATGATTCAACCTTTTCAAAAAAAGAAGTTATTATTATTAACAAACTACTTAACTACAGCAAAAAGTACTATTGAACGCATGATTCCTGAATCTATGATATCTGTAATAACCAATAAATTGAAAACAGGGCAAAGCCTCAATATATTTTAAATATACTTACCATCATTAAATTCTTCACTTTGACTTCCATCATCATCATCATCATCATCATTGTCACCACCGCTATCCTCTTCCTCATCTTCATCATCTTCATTATCAATGTCTTCATCATTATTAACACTATCTTCGGCCCCATTGCCACTAGTTTCAACTGGAGCCTTGGGCTTCGGAGGTGAAGGAGCTATATAACTACTTGTGGACCTTCTACGAGAACTTGAAACGATATTGCTTACATCAATACCCTCAAGTTCTTTGGCTCTTGCCTTCTTCCTTTTTACTTCCTTAATTTCTGAGTAAATAAGGGAACATCAGAAAAGGGGGAATAGGAGCCATTAAATGAATAGATGAATATAATGAAAATCAAAGCCAGTCATATCTGCAGGTCAATGTAGACATACCATTTAAAATGATCCAATAAATAGGGAATATTAGAGGTTGGCTGAAATTACATTACCTTCCCTCTAATTTCAGATATTAGACTTTTTAAATCCCAGATATAGTGGCGTGTATCAGCCAGCCCAGAAACTGCTATAGCAATATAACATGTAGGAAGATAGCAGCTGTTCTGAATTGTTTGGTCACTATTGTGATTTAAATTATAGTATGTAAAGCTTTAAATAGTTTATTACATTTTTTCTTCTTATTGTTGTTTAGTTTATTATATTTTTAGTACTATTATTGTTTAATTTACGATATTGTGTAATGTTTTATTTAGTTTTTTATTACTACTATTAACTTATTTAGGTTAGTATCTTACATGTTATGCTTTAAATAGTTAATTATATTTGATTACTTATATCATTTAGTTTATTTATTATAAGATATGATATGCTATGCTTCATTAAAAAACCAATAGATAGTCTAAACTAGACTCAAGAGGGGCCCAACAAACTAAAACGAAAGAAAAGGAGAAAAAACACTCAAGTGTTTGCGCCCATGGGCCCAATTCTAACCATTTCTTTACTATATAACCCTAACCAGCTCTAACAATCCAGTAGCTCAGCGCAGTCCCCCATCACAGAAGTTTTGACAGCAAATGTGGAAAGAAAAACACAGCATCACAGCAACATCGAAAGAGGGAAGAAATCAGATGGAAAACGGGCAGAAAGGCTGTAGCAATAAAATAGGTTGACAGGACAGTGCAGCACTAATGGGAGTGATGTGAAAGATCTGTGACTCTCTCCACTCCAGCCACAGAAGTTGCAATAGTTAATTGTGCCACCCCAATTCTCCACAGCACTGATTAGAGTAACCTCCCAAACTTTAAAATTTTACATAAAAAATACTCATTATACTTTTAGTTTTCAATTCAATTATACCGCTGGAAGACAGGTCCAAATGCAAAGGTGAAGTAGCACTTTGGTGACCAATTGGTTATGGGTTTGAATCTGAAAACAGTTTCTTTCCATATGTAAGGGTAACCTAGGTAAGACTGTATATAATGACCCTCCCTCATACCTTCACATTGCGAAGAGCCTTTTGGCACAGTTGTATGTTAGTTTTATTAAATTATACTCCATACACCCACCATTGTCTGAAACTACGAAACTTAAAACAATGTTATCTAATTCCAATGATATAGAATGACACTTTTACTAGGGAACAACATATATCAATAAAAATGTCTAAATTTTATTTTTTAACTAAGTTTTCACTCCACAATATATATATGAATGAAGTCAAGGCCCTAAAATGTCACAGATTTTAAATTATGGACAAATTATGGGACAATTTAATTTTGTTTATAGTACACTCACAACACAAGTAATTAATTAAGTTTAGTTCCTCACATCTTAAAACTAATAGAACTAAACAAACAAGACCAAGGTAAAACTAGCAACGGTTTCAATTGTTTGGGTTGCATGAAAGATAATAGGACACAGCTGATAACAACAACTCCAAGGGCTCTCCTTTGACAAAGGAATGCATATTTTATTCAATCAAGATGAAATATTGCAGCTAATATCAAGGGATGAAGGAATACTACTAAACATGAACTCACCCTTTTCAGATGGATTTGAAGACAATCCTTCTCTAGATAATATTTCCTCCAACTCCTTAATTAGTTGTCCTTCCCGTTTATTTTCAGTCACTTGCTTGACTTTTTTGTAAATTGAGGGAGGAACACTGTGATAGAAATATGTAACATCAAACTATCTTCCTGAACAAATATCTCTGGACCATAAAAAGGAATCCGAAAAAGAAAGTTACCCCATTCCACATGCTTTAATAACAGATTTTAAGTGCTCCACATGTTTTCCATACACAGGAGTTGAAACCTCTTTCTTCTGTAGTTCAGCAGAAAAAATAAAGCTATAATTCAATGAAAAAAAAAAACTCATACATCTAACTTGTAGAATTTGAATAAAAAAAATGTTGAATACAGTTTCATGGAAATTCACACATAAAAGGACAAGACTAATAATATAGAGTTTTTATTCAGCTAAGAGATTGTAATTTTTCAATAATTATGGCTATGGCCTTAACTTTTCAACTTATACAGGCATTCCTATAGCAATCAGAATAAAAACAATAATTTAGTATGACCTTGGAAGGTTTCTCTGGAGATGAATGGGACTGATCATCTTCAGAGTTTTTCCCATTATCTTCTGCATCACTACTGTCTTCTGAGGCTGCTTTAGCAGGCTTGATCTTTTTCTTACTGGACAGATCAGTCTCCTCTCCTTTACGCTTTTTCGTTCGAATAGGAGTCTGCGCTTTTCCTTTAGGAACAACCTTTTTCCTAGGTTTAACTTCATCTTCCTGACCCTCTTCCTCATCAGTCTCCTTATCTGAGGTTTCAGAGTTCTCTTCACTGCTGGCCTTTTTAGTTACTTTGGTATCAGGTTTTTTCTTAACGATTTTTTTAGCATTCTTTGCAAGTTCCGAAACTGCAGAAGACGCTAGTACCTTCACATTTGAAAGATACATGCAAAGCATGAGTAGTGTTCGTGCTTCTTATGGGCCTCAATGACACTTCATAGATTTTTCACTCACCTCATCAAGCTGTTGACTTATAAACTTCTTATAGGGATCAAGAGTAAATTTATCAAGTTTAAGATCTTCCTCCAATAGTCGACGAAGACTAGCCATAGTAATTGTCCTGAAATTAACAAGTGAAAATAAGTACCCCATGTCATATCTTATAGCCAAAGAATCAGTTGATGTGAATAAATTTACCAAAGTAAGGACATGCAGTGCATTGTCATAAAGAGAGTTCAGAATGATAAATAATTGAAAGAATCAGTAGCATACTCTGCATTAGCCTTGATGTACGAAGATCTTTTTCTAACAGCTTTCTTAATAAGAGCCTCACTTGGAACCACTTTATTCCCATTGCCGTTATTATCCTTGGTTTCAAGTTTAGCCCGTTTTTGTTCTTTAAGAAGACCTAAAACTGGAGAGTCTTCCATTTTCTCCCCATCTTCAGGGCAAAGATCCTTCTCATCTTTTAATTCACATTTTTCTTTCGGTTCTTCTGACTCTTGTGCACTTGCATCCTTTTCCCCTGCCTTCTCTGATATCTTTGAGCCATCATCATCATCACCGACCCCTTCTAAGCACTACCAGCAATGAGGTAATAAAAACACATTGATAAAGAGACATAAGAACAAGATCCAAGCATTCTTCGTAACATCAGAATTCATAAAATTAAACCAATCGCAACACAAATATGTTATAAAGCAAATTGTTATCATGAATGCAGCCAAATAGTAGTAATAAATAATTTATTCAATACCACACACTAGTCAATCGTACTTATACTAATAATCATACATAACTCTGGTTAAACACCCTACATTGAGGTCCTGATTAAATAAAGGGAACAACAGTTCCTCTTAAAGTCCAAGTAAAGGCAAAGTTGCATTTCATATTGCATTGACAACCAACTTATTCAGCTACCAAATGATAACCAAAAGTGTAAGATACTCTGAATCATAAGATTTAAAAGAAATTTCAGCGAATCCAGAGCGCTCCTAATAGTAATTCGAACGACGTTACTCATTCAGCACTTAGGGTTGGCTATCGGGAGCAATCACTAGTGAACAACAGAAAAACTAGAAAGCCCTAGAAGCTTCCACTTATGCATACTGACTATGTTGGAATTAGGGATTCGAACTGAGAAGAAAAAGGAGTACCTTGAGCAAACATTGTTTGATAAATCTCTTGTGCACGTCCAACGCATACTCCTCCAATTCTAAGTCTTTCTCAAGCAATCGACGAACACCCTCGAACGTCAAAGAGCTGCATTGAAAGGCGAAACAGAAGGAACGGTACATAAGATTTGAGAACAGTGAGAAGAAAGAAGAAGAAAGAGAGAAGAGTTAGTTACTCCGATTGTTCCTTGAAGTGAGAGACCCGAGAGCGCATAGCGGTTTCAATCTGAGACTCTATATTCTCCCCTTTCTTCTTCCCCTCACTGTCTTCTGCCATGTCTCTCTCTCTGCGAATTCTCAACTTTCAATTATCACTTTGCTAATTGGCGTGTGATTGCATGAATTGTATTGAAATTAGGGTACACTCTCTCAGTGCTGTGTGTTCGAAATACCAGAGTGCGTGCTTGCCCCTATGGATGGACTCACATGCTTCTTCTATGTTACTATTTTTTTTTTTTATTTAATTCTGAAACTTTGTTTCCCAAACTTTTATTTTACAATTATTGTCTAATTTCTATGTGATTGAATTATTTCGTTAGTAGTTTTTAATAACTCTGAGAAACAAAACAAAAATTAACTCTCAAATTAATTACTTTTTAATTTTTTATGTCAAAAATTCCCCTTTTTTTCTCAAAATATCAACTTTTTTTATTAATAAATTTCTTTTTTTTTTCTGTATATTTTTTTCCCTCCAAATGTTTTTAGGATTAAATTTATCATTTTTTAAATACAAACTTATATATAATGATCATAGTTATAAGATTTTGACGTAAGCTCTTAATGTATTACAAAAAATAACACGTGACATTCTTTAATTTTTTATAAAAACTTCATTTTTTTTACAGTTTTTTATGAAAAATTAATTAAAAGCGTCTTTTTGTAATCTTAAATTTTTTACATAAGTTAATTTTATATACTTCTTTATAATATTAGACTTTGTAGAATTTTATTTAACTTTAAAAATAATAATAAAATACATAAATTTACCAAGAATTAAAAAGCCAACAAATTTATGTCTTTCATTTCAGAGTGTGTTTAAATTTAAATTGCATTTATTTAAAATCATGTTCAATTCAACCAATCAATCAATTGTATAACTTTTTTTTGTATGAATTCAAATACGTAAAAAAATTTAAACTTTTTTTATGATATCATCGGTGTTAAAAATTGATAAAAAATTTATTAAAATCGATATTTTTTTATCTATATTTTTCTAAACCCATAATTTAGTTCGATTTTCATATTAAAATTTAACAATAAAATAAAATTGAATCGAATCAATTGTTATATTTAAATATAATATTATATATTTATAATTATTTTTTAATTAATAAATACGTAAAATTTATTTTATAATTTAATTGCTTTTTAATTATAATTATTAAATATACTATGATAATATTATATTATAAATTTTAATTATAAGAGAATGTAATTTATTTATAAACGCACAAGAATAAAATTATGAATATAATAATAATTATATAATAAAATTATATAAATAAAAATTACAAAATTGATTCAAATTAACTCATGAACATTATTTTATTTTTATTTTATTATATATTAAATTAAAATAGAACCATATTTTATTTTTATATTTTACTTAATGATTATTTGCTAAAAAAACAAACAAAATCACCTAACACCCCTAATTATAACTCCTTCTTAAACATATATAACTTTTTATTTAGGTCTTATATATATATATATATATATATATATATATATATATATATATATATATATATATATATATATATATATATATATATATATATATATATATATATATATATATATATATATATATAAATAAGTAGTATTCCTTTACTTGTTATTACGTAATTGTCACTGAAATAAAAATACGTATGAATCTCGTTTAAAAAATGAGATCAACAATAAATTATATATATCATTTTTTTTAAATCAATAATAATTTATATATATTATTTTCATTAAAAACAAATTTATAGTTTAAATTTAAACAATACATGAAATAATTAATTCTAACCTAAATAATCTAAGACTCATCACACAAGTTTAATCATGTATAAGTGCATGACATGCCTTAAAAGTTACGTTACTCAAATAATTTATTCTAAGAATATTTTAATTTTTTTTTTAATTTAGATAAATATATTGAAATGATTTTAAAGATTGTTGATAGTTCTTAAATAATAATTGTGACGAGTTAATACGATATTTTCTTAATTTCAATTAAACAATTTTTTTTAAAACTTAGAAAACTAAAATCAGATTCACCCCAACGCTTAAGACATAAAAATATAACTAAGTCATATTAATGATACAATTTTTTTAGATAATTTTTAATCTATATTTTATTTATCTTAAAATATTTTGTAAGAACAAAGCTAATATATATGAGAATATGTGTGAATTTTTTATTTTTTTTTTGTCTTTGGTTATACTTGGCTTCAATATTAGGTTCCGTTATCTTTCTTAATGATAATAATGGTTGAGTTCGAGAAAAAAAAAAATATCTTTTACCTTAATACAAAGTAGCAAATATTATGTATTTGTTCTTTTACTTTCAATAAGTATAGTAACATGCAGGTAGACTACCAATAGTGTTTTTGTTGTCACTTAATAATTAAAATAATTCAATACTTTAATTATTTTTCATTCTTATGAAATTGAAGATAACATTAAAATAACTAGGAAATATAATTTTCTAAGATACAATTTTGTCAAATGATGTGGATTGAGAATATAATTTAATGAATTTTCTAATTTTAGTATGTTATTTTCTTCACCTTCTCTCACTCATAGTTTAGAAGAATATATATCTCATCATGCATTCTATCACGTGTCATTATAGGAGACAATTTTTATTCAGGCTTATTTATATGGTGCAAGAAGCCCCAAACCGCCATTATGACTTTGGGGAGATAATACAATATGATCTTGTCATGTTTAACCTACTAAGGTGATCATTATCGCACTTAGGAATATCCTCGTCATGTGTAAGTGATGGTCGTTAAGGACAAAGAGTCGTTGTTCATGAATTTTGGTAATGAACATGAAGAGAAGTAGATGAATGAATAAAGAAAGGAAACAAGAAAGAAGTTAATGAAAACATGAACAGAGTCCCACATGTATGAGTACTAGTATCATAACCCGTTCAACGCACGGGATTTTTTAAATTTTTATATTAATAATAAATAATATCTTAATATTAATAAGAAAAAAAGAAATGTTATAAATGATTTTCAATTTGTAAAATTTTTAAATGAAAAAATTATATTGAAAAAGATTGTATAAAATTAAAAAAAAAAACTCACAATAAATACAAAATATAGTAATACCATAACCACAATACTAAAATAAGTTATTAGTTATAAAGTACAAGTAATAATAATTTTGTGTGATATTTTGTAAAAGGTAAGAAATAAAGTCAATTTTAAACATCGCACTTGCAATCTATGATTCATAAACAAGGTAATTCTTTCTAAACATAAGTTTTTCATAAGGTATAATGTGTCTTCTTTATACATCTATTATAATAGGTATAATATTTTTTGTCTTTTCCCAACATTTTGTTCCTGACACTATATCTTTCTTATTTTAAAACACTTGACTAAATTTTGTGAAGAGCAACAAAATGAAAAGGTAATTGAACATTGAAAAAGATAACCTGGGGGTTTGGTACTAAAATTATTATGTTGCTGATGGTTGATAAAATATAAACTGTCTGTAAATATTATTCATATTCATCTATAACGTGTATATGTTTATTGTTTTTTCGAGATATTCAATGTGTAACTTTTCTTCTATTGATTTGTATACAAAATTGTTGCAGCATAACTTCATAATTTTCAAGTAATGTCACATATCCTAATTTGACAACATATTTCAATTTTGTTTGTTTTGACATGTTCAAGGAAAATTTCAACCAAAAACATCTATATTTGATATAGTAGCAATTATGACAATAATTTTCTGTATATAATATTATATGTTCTGGTTATAACAAAAGAGGACATAGATTAGAATGAGAGAATATATATTTATTTTGTGCAAAAGTAGAAAATTTAACATTTAAGATTCAAAATATAGGAAACAATTATCGATCAAAAGGTCATGATAGACATATTACAAAAGAAAATCATAAAACAATAACTTAACTATATTACAAAGAGAATGCCTATTACATAAGTCATATTATCATATCCAAAACCAAACTTTAACTATATATTTTAGATTGTTGCCAACTTAAAATATCACTTCATGACCTTCCTTCAATCAATTTTCATGACAAAATTGTTTCCACCCTTTTCCAATTTTAGAGGATTTTTTTGCTTGGTTTCTAATAAGAAGTTTACAATGAACATGACTTACTTCTCCACAGAGTAATAAAGTTTTGAATCTACCTCTACGAACATAAGTTGCAAAATTCAATGGCAAATCATATTAAAGATTGAACGCTAAAATTAAAATATCACTATAATGATAAAAAGTAGCTAAACAATTAATATAAGGATGAGAATAAGAATAAAAATCAAACCAAATGACTTCCTTTGCTTTGGGATTTAGTTAGTGTTACTAGAAAATAAACTAAACCTTCCCACCATGCAAGATGATCCTCAAAGTTCTTCACAGTTAAAAGTGTATAAGTACCTTTAAATACTGTTATTCGAAAAATAGAATGTCCAACATATTGAAACAAAATGAAATGGTTCTCAGTCATGTTGTAGAACCTTCTTAACTCAACTCATCCTTGTGTGAGCAAAGGCCTATCTAAGTTCATGTTGTAAGTGACAACATTTAAGTTACCCTTGCGTCATGCAAACTCCATTGATCATCAAGCTCATGTGCAAACGCTATAGCAAACTCATGATCAACATATCCAAAATCCTACACAAAAAATTAAAAAAATTATGATTTTACTTATATAGAAACAAATAGATAGAACAATAGTGTACAAAAGAAATTTATAGTAAGACATTCCATTACTTAAAAAACTATAAAAAGATATAATAAGAATACTTCCCAATACTTAAACTAAGTGGGCATTCCATTACTCCATGAAATCATTAGGCCTCAAAAAATATAGAACCGTGTTGTAGAAAAAATATGTGTAAATATGAGTAAATAAATACAAAGGATGAATATTTGAAAATATCAACGGTAATGAATGCTACCATCAGAGTTGTATGTTTCCAATGTAAATCATAATTGTAAATAATGAATAAAATAATAAAAGAAATAAACAAATGATGGAATGTGATTAGATGAGTAGATTTGTCATAGAGAGTAAAGTTGAATGATGGGACGGGATGGGAAAAAATAGAATGATGGTTTTTCTTCCTTTGATGTATACTTCTAGCATGTATTGGAAATAGAGTAATGACTTATCTTTTCACCAGCTTATTAGAAGAACCGAGACAATAATAATAAATAAATGCAGGTAAATGCTTGAATACATTTTGAAGATTTAAAAGATAAAAATACTTACAAATAGTTATATTAAGTGGGCTTCCATTGCTCCATCAAATGATTGGGCCTCAAAAAAATGTAAAAGAGACTTGTATAAAAAGATATAATAAGAATACTTCCCTATACTTAAACTAAGTGGGCATTCCATTACTCAATGAAATCATTAGGCCTCAAAAAATATAGAACCGTGTTATAGAAAAATGTATAAATATGAGTAAATAAATGCAAATGATGTTTAAGGAAAGACATACAACTTATCCAATCTCACCAAACTAACATAAATATTATAAAAGAGTTCATTATATTGATAATACAACACATTATAATGCAGTTCATCAAAACTACCACAACAAAATATTCAAAAATTTTCTCAGATCATAATGCAGTTCATCAAAAGTATCACAACAAAATATTCAAAATATTCATATTGATAATACAACACATCATAATGCAGTTCATTAGATCTATTAAGTTACTTAATTTTTCTCCATCTTGATATTTTTCTCCATCTTGATATTTTTCTTCAATATTTTTAAAGGTATATCTTCATCTTGTGTGTCCAAGTCTGTTATATTGTGTCGTTTAAGATTTGTCATGACCAAATTATTGCTGAAACCAATATCTGATGCTAAATCAACTGGTTCAGAGTCAACATCATTAGATGCATTGGAGAACTTTGTTAAAGAAATTCTGTAAAAATAAGTTGACATACTTTAGACTAATTTGTTTTAATGTTATATTTGTAATAATGAAGAGAAATCAATTAAATACCTCGACAACAATAATGGAAGCTTTTTCAAAATTTGATTGTTTGCTATTGAATATTGTATTTTCTGAATTGACATCCTAATAAACTTCATTTGGTCAGTATAGAAGTAGAATATCATGAATAACAAATATTAGTTATTGAGTACATATTTACCATTGATTTCATGCAACCATCGGTGAAGTTTTTTATAATAACATCGTCTGCACAAATTTTCTTGACTTTGAAAGTTTGTTCAAACCTGAAACTCTGACCACATGTAAACTCAACTTTGAAGAGAAACGTCTTATTTACCAATTATTCAATCTCATTCGAGAAATTCCCATTAACAACATTCTATAAATAAACCATATTAAACATTCAATGCAATGTAATAAATAGATAAATAATACATAATACATATAATAAATAATAAATATAGGGAAAAAAACTTTATCATGCGAATCAAACATATCTACGCATGATTTTTTTAACAATGTAGCAACATCCTTATTAAAAATTACGAAGTTGCTTGAGTCTATTTCGTCAATGACCCTCACCTTAAGCTTGTACCTGAAATTCATAAGCAATAAAATATTATTTGAAAGAATTTCATAAAAAAGTTGAAATATGATGCCAAAAAAATAGCATTGATTAGTACCTAGGCATGACTTTCATGACATGTTTATTACATTTTTCACAAAAAAACATTTTGGAATCTGGATATACTGCTTTGTTGCACACACAAACTATATAACATCAATCATCATCATGAACAATATGTTTTATAGTGCCTAGAATTACAAAACTTGTTTCCTGTAAAGACAAATATGAACACTAGTAATTAAAACTAAAATGAATAAACAATAACCACAATGAACATCACTAATTAATAGGAATAGAGTAATGAATAGACTAATAATGACTATGACACTTGTTTACAATCTTTTAAACCCTTTATTGTATTTCTAGGAGTAGATTGAAGGAATTCATCTTCACTAGTTTGTTTAGAAGAGTCAGAAAGTTGGCTTAACCCCTGGGCAGGTGACTCCATACTCTGAGACATCTTGCATTCAACAAAACATGAAAAGTTAAATGGACATTTTAGTTGGTTAACACTTAAAGTGAAATTTATGATTTACACCTCTTTTGAAGTGCACATATACTTTATCTGTAAATAACATACAAAGATATAAAACTATAATATAATGTCAATAATTGTAACTAATTATAACACCAATATATTAGTTACCTTGGAAGATTTTGACTTTGTCGAATTTTATGATTATGACAGGATTTTGGATATATCCATATGCAAGGAATGCATTTAGGTCATCAACATATTGGTCAAAAAATGTACACTCTACTCTAAAACTAAGTTTGAAAAACAACACATGTTAAAAGAAAACTAAACTATACTATAGTAAATCCTTAAGCATCAATAAATGGGTTAAAGAACTTTACCCATCAGCCTCTAAGCATATCATGTTTAATTTAGTTTTTTTTTTTCATTCTTGTCTAAAATGAAATCACAAATGAGTGTTATTTAAAATGTATTGAAAGCATGGTAGTGCAACTAACCTTCATATATTGCATGACAAAAGTCCATGGAAAATGACAATTTGTGTTTAGTGAAATCTGAAACAAACCACAGGCGTATGACCTTTGCCAATATATTCCAATTTTCTTTTTTAGAATTGAGTTCTGAAGCAGAGTGATACTCTTTTTTGCAAATTGGACATGTTGCAAACTGAGATAGAGAATAACTCACCCAACGTAGAAATATTGTCATCACAAATGTATATTTATAAGCACGATGGAAAGAGAGAAATGTCATCTGTATTCTAGAATTTGAAATTTGAAATTTAAAATTTTGACAATATTAAAGTAATCTGAATTCAAACTTTTGTAAAGTGAAGATATTACCATTTTTATATATCTGGCTTCCTGTATTTCTGTCATGATATAAAAAATTGCAATTTTTATACCTTCAGCTTGTGCTAACCCATAAGTAAATGCAAATCAATAAGCAAAATTACATAAAACTGTACTGAAATAGGTATAAACATATCTACAACCCTAATAACGGTCAAAGAAGACAATATTGAACCCTAATCATTTAGGGAAAAAAATTTCAACTTCACTCTTGAAGGTAAACAACGTAGAGATTGAAAATCGGTAACTTTTAAATTCAAAAACCTTAGATCAAAGCTAATCAGTAACATTTTTTTCGAAATCGGTAATTTTTAAATTCAAAAACCTTAGATCAAAGCAAATAAGTAACCTTTTTTACAAAATCGATAACGTTTAAATGCAAAACCTTATATCAAAGCAAATCAGTAACATTTTTTACGAAATCGGTAATGTTTTAATAAAAAAAGTTTATATTCAAAAGTAAATCGGTAAGAAAGATAACATAACATATCTGAACGTACATATGAAAATACCTACTTGAGGAAAGACGTGCAACAAAAGAGATTTGATGCTTCTTTTGAGACATTGATCTTGCATAAAAGAGAAAAGATTGCAGCGAAAGCAGAGTGACAAAGAAAATGTGCAAAGCGAAGAAGACTTGCAGTAGACTGAGTGAAGGAGTATATGGGAGCATATGAGAGATTAGGAGAGTATTTTGGCTGAGGAAAAGTATTTGGGCTTGCAGCGTTGTTGTAACCAAAAGAAACCGTTTGTCTTTTTCTACAAATAGGTATGTTTTGTACAAATTTTATTTTTGATTTTTTTGAAAAAAATTGTGATAATGACACCTGTAGAAAGTTAATATTTGTGTTACCTGGATTTGTATATAAGTATAGATGTTAAAACATACCTACTATAATTGGACTGAATGAATTAAATGTCACTCATTTTTGTTATATGGTTATACAAACCAACACTTTTCATCTCACACCATGATTTATGCGGAATAGCCTACATGAGATCACCTACGAAAACACTCAACCCTGTTGATGAACTTGTGAATCAATGTGTGACTTATGCACGTTATCGTCCTTATCCTCTAATGAATGACCCTTTCTTGCAACCCCGAAGAACCACCGGATAATTGCTCTGTTATTTCGATTATTTGCTCACTAAATCACGCCTTCACATGTCTTTACCATCCTTTTCTTATTTGCACTGTGAAATGCAAATGTCATCTTTGTATAGTTTTGAGTTATTTTTATTAGATTTGAAGAGAGGAAAAGAAGGCATTTAAGAAAGAGAAGAAAAAATTATATATATATATATATATATATATATATATATATATATATATATATATATATATATATATATATATATATATATAATTCTCAACCCCATTGTATTGAAAAAAAAAACTGATGGTTACATAACCATCGTCCGCGATCTCAACCACACCCTAGTATATTGCTATTAAAAAAATAAAAAAATAAATATTTGTTAACTTGTTTGAATACTTTATTATGCGTCAAACATCAATAAATTAATATCTTACCTTATAGAATGACATTTGTTCACAAACTCCATAATCTTAATCTACGTTCACTTCATTTATTTCTTATTAGTTTTAATATGAACTTGTAGGCCTGCTCGGATACGTCAAAAATTCATGAGCTTATTCATGATAAGCTCATCATGAAGGAACAGGTACTATTAAAGAGAACTCAACCGACCATGTGATCATATAAAATGTCTTCTATACAGCCCTAGTATGAAGAGATCCTATTCAGCAAATACCGAAACTTTCAGATCGATGCTCATATAAGTCTACAGTCATTCCACGTCGAACTCCAGATTCCCACCAAGACGAACGGAAAAGATATTTGATGCCAAAATTTCATTATGCTACGCGTATGAAGATAACTTTAATCAATCAGCTCCCATGGTGTGACAGAGTGTGTTGCGCACTCAAACACTATAATGTATCAGCCTTTCTTTTCCTGTTGGCTGCTAACGCATCTAGTTGACCCTTGCCAAATACAGACCTGCAGAGAGTGGAAAGACACAACATAACCAGATGATGAGGTAAATTATAAAATTGCAATATCAACTAAGTTTCCATTCAACAACTTAGTCCCAATACTAGTTACCATCCTGAATTCTGACGCCAAAAATATCTTAGTAATTCGTGCTTCCATCTAATATGCATTCACATTTGAAAATAACAAGCATACTGCATGCATAATTTTGTATTGACAAACTTAGACATGAATAAAAGCAAGTATCACCAGGATATTCATCTAGCTGTAGAGATCTGTTGGCAAACTAGTATGTGGCTAAACTTTATATGTTAAAAACTACAATTGAATTCATAGGCTAGTTTATACGCAATGAAAAATTTAATCTTTTAGTAACCAATCTAATCCGTGGACGAAAACGTAACTTTCTTTACAAACGCATATGCTGGAAAATAATCATACAGAATATACATAGTCCATGCCAATTGTTGCTTATGGAAAAGCTTGAGGCTGTGGGAGTATTATCATAAGATTATTCAAAATACAGGGCTGAAAGCTTCATCTAATTAGCTGGGATTGTTTTCCTCATCTTAGCTTTTCCTGGCATGCTAACCCCTATATTAGAGACAGTCTTTCCGCTATGATATATAAGTCAGCTACAGAGAGAAACTGATAATTGTATCAAATTATAAAAAAAGAAGTAACAGCAGTCTGATAATAAACTAGTAAAAGAATACAATTGAAAAGGAAAGATTTATATAAAGTTGAACAAATTCCTATTATCTCGTAACTAAATAATGAATATTTACACTCATTTGATTGATAACATATGGAGAAACTTTATGAAAACAGAATGACAAATAGCTAACTTGAGGAAATAAACACTTACCCACAGGTTGAACACTTATCATGATGCTCACAGAATATGGATAAACATACAGAGCATACAAAGCCCATGTCAATTGTTTGCTTATGGCAGAAGCACCTGCACAATTCATACAACTTCGTTGTCGGTCTCATAATTTCTATAGTAAACAGAAGAAGATTGCCAGAATTAAAATGACAGGATGAAGGAGTTTAACATCAAACAACTTGAATAAATCCACTAAAATTACATTACATATATCATCAATCACAAAGAAACTCAGTGTTCGGTATCATTTTAAAATTGTACTAATTTATATCAAGGAGATAACTAAAAAGATCCCTTAGTTAGGTGTTTATATTTAGTGAATTTAGCCTTTAAAAGTTGGCTTACTGATTGCATAAATTGTGGTTCAGTTTATAAGAACAAATCATAATTAGTTGTGTATCTTCAAACCAACATAAAGGGACCAATTGAAGGAAAAAAAAACAAGCTCAATGATAACTTGTAGTTCGAATATTTGTAGTTACAAGGGAGGGGAGAAACAGAGAGTGAAAGAAAATGAACATACAAAATCTGAAACAGGAAAAGGTTAACTAAGGACAAACTTACGAGGCACGGAAATCCACACCCACAGATTTAGGAAGCCTTAAAAATGCACGAGAATGCAAATCAGTTGCAAACACTGTCTGCATATGTAAGGTTAGATTAGTGACAGAAGTAACACAAAAGTTAAAATTCAAAAGACAAATAATCCAAACCTGATTTGAAAAAAAATGATAATTTGCTTAATCCTTTTCAGAATCCAATTATTATAGCTTCAAGTTTGAGACCAATATATAATGAGTTGTTACAGTAGTTTTTCACATTTATTACATTATTTGGTTGAGTTGCTTCCCTAGAAGAAAATAACAAGTCAATTGTCTTTCTGTTTTAAGAAATGCATACTCAATAAAACAAGGAGCCTAAACATGAACTGTTAGGACCCTAAAAGAAAATATGGGCCCAAATTTAGTACATCAGCTACCCAAGCCCATATAGTAAGGAGAGTTATGTTCAGGAAAACATGAAGGGGCAGGGAAAGAATGTTGACTTCACAGAGAAAGAGAGGAATGAGCTGATTGTGTAATGGGTTTTTAAGTTATATTGGGACATGGAAAGATAGAGGAGAGGTATGACGAGAATCATTGAGTTTGTTATCAACAGTGAGCTAAAGACCTTTGTAGGAGTTTAGCCCCATGAAAGCAGGAATATTCATCCCACTGTAGTCCTTTCATTTCTGCCTAAACTACATGATTTTGAAAGATTTCCCAACATTTTATGTTGACCCAAAAAGGACCTCATGACAGCTAGGTAGTTTGTACCATACCATACCAAGTAACCACCAATCTTGAGGAGCAACCATGAAAGAAAGAGCTACAATCCCACACACCAGATATAGAAAGCAACAATACAACTAAAATTCAAGTAGATTTTTGTCAGGGACACAGAGATCGATTGATCAATATGAAACTCGAGAGTGGATGGTTGACCACCATAAATTTAAGGACTTATTTGTTGAATAGCCACTAGCTTTCTTCAAATTTTAAACTAATTCTGTCTTTAAAACAACTTCCTCTCCGGAATGAAGACAGACAGCACTGTATAAGAGCATATAAATCATTGCTCTTGCATGTCTTCTAAAGACATTTAAGTTAATAACTTATTTTGGAATGATGTCGATCCTAATCAATCATGACCTACTGAAAGCTAAGAAAACATTTCTCACCCACCAACCCAAAAACAAAGGATGAAGTGCCAGAAAGCCATGACTTCAGTCTCTAGTTTATTGAATGGTATCAGCAAGACACCAGTATTAGCAATATATACTGTGTCTCGTCATTACTGGTGCCTCCATACCACCAATAATTCTTTTAAGTTGCATATTATACATGCAAATTGATTGCAAAAAAAATCTTGAATTATAATCACAGTCAAGGCTGCTAATCAAGTTTTAAATTTTACAAGGCAAATCTAGGAACTTAACTTTCAACCACATTTATATATACTTAGTCCAAGATCAGTTCAACTGCAATGAAATAACAATTGTATTCCAGTCGTGGTATGGACTTTCAGGATAGTGACATGCTTCTATGAATCCTTATGGTTCATATTTCCTGGTTTCCAGAATTAGAAGCGAATATTTTACATCCCATAAAGAATTGTTGAATTCAAGTTTCAACAGCAAGAGAAAAGGATGGACTGCTTTTGGCATCAAGCAAACAGGGTAGATGAGCTTGGATTTTCAGGTGGAGGGGCCAAAGCCACTGGCTTTATGAACAAAAAAAAAAAACTGTATAACAAGTCACACCAATGCTTCAAAAGACAATTAAAACACAAGCTTACTGAAAGATATTGATAAAGGCCGTCCAATTGGGGAGGCTTGTAATATATTCCACCAGTTATGTATGAAGCCTGTCATTCATGACACAAAAAGAAATGACAATAGTCAATTAAACACATTCTGCAACTGCAATATCAACTCATTCAATACGTGTGTTTTTACTTAACTACCTGCTGGAGGAACGCAGAATTGTTTGAACCAATATAACAAGAATCTATAGGAACCTACAATATAAAATACAAGTTACATGAAAATGCTAGTTACAAAATAAAAATACAAGCAAACTTCAAGTTTAGTTAAACAAATGTTACTGGAAAATGCCTGACTACTGAACAGTCTCCTGGCAAGAAAAAAGCCAAAGTTGAAAGAAGAAAGAAAATAAAAGGCAAAGATTCAGTACATACCTCAGAACGCTGTGCAGAGAATATTGCATTCATAATTGCCACATACCTGAAAAGGATAGAAGGTGTTATTTGAAGAGAAATGTCAATGCAATTATAAATTAGAATATATAAAAGGTAAAGATCGTGAGGAACACACTGTTCTGGTCCATCAGCAGCCCCTTGCAAACATAAAATCTGTTCATGAATCAGTAAGTAAAACAGCAATTATTTAATATCGACAAATTGGAAAGGAATGGCAAAATTAAAGAAGAAGCGACAAAAATGTAGACGGCTGAGAAATACTAGATTCCTGAAACAGCAAGAACCAGTACATCATTAAAAACAAAGAAAAGACCAATCATGTAAGAGAATTAGCAAAAGGGAGTTAGCAATAATCGTCTCCAGTTTAAACCAGATCAAAATCAATTCGATATTAAAAATAATACCATGGAGCATCCATAGAAAAGTTTACAGAGGAAACTAAACCTTAATGTCTTCTCATTTTACAAACAAGCAAATACAAAAAGTAAATGCAATACTTAGCGTGGATGAATTCAATGGACACCCAAGACCAAAAAAAAAGTCTAACAAAGAGCAAACCCCGCAATACCAACATCAGATGACAGAAAAAACAAGCACATCATTTTCAAAGTCTAACATCAAACTCATAGAACTCCTCATCAATACAATAAAAGGCAAAAGTCCATCATACTAAACTAACAGTTCCAATCGCAGTTGCAACTCATCATTGCATTCAAGTACAAAACTCAATGTAATAACAAATTGGCGATTAAGAACGCATATACACACCCGAGGCTGCGGAGGCATAGGTCCTAAACGAAAAGCTCTCTGTATATCTGATAATCCAATCAGGTCAAACAAAAAAAGAAGTTAAAGCCCTAATCAGTAGCATAAGGTGTTCTCAATTTCATTAGCGAAAATCCAAAGAACTTGGAAACTAAATTGGCGATAAGGATACAACAAAGCGCCATGGACAAGGAGCCGGATAAGAGCGAAGAAGGAACGGTCCCAGATTTGTGAGGCACGTCTAATTGCTGGTCCTTAGAAACAAACTCGTCGAGATTGTGGAGTAGATTGGAATAAAGCGCGGGCATTGTACCGGTGGTGGAACCATGATTCCGTTCGGAAGTGGAATCGTAGACGTAGGCGCAAGAGTTGCATCCGGTGGCGATGACGATTACCTGATTGAGCTGGCCAAGGAGCAGGATCGAGTTGAGAAAGGCGAGAACCTGGGAATTGAAAAATTAAGATTTTGGAATGGGATTGGTGAAGTTGTTTGAGCACGGGAATTACTTGGGAGAGGAACTCGGCGAAGGGGAAGGGAAAAGTGGTCCAGAAGAAAGGATTGGTGTCTAGCGTCACAACGAGAAGGCTCACATCGTCTGCAAAGAAAGGAAGAAGGGTGAGTGGAGAGAATAAGAGATTGAGTAGTGAGGGATTGAGAGAGTGCAGAGAACCTGTGTAGAGTTTTGAAGGAGCTGAAGGCATGGTGTGCTTGCGACTGTGTCAGGTGAAAAGGAACTACCAGTGCTTCTGCTTTCACTAAGAATTAATTTCTTGGCAACTCATGGAGGGACATTATGCAATAACCCTTCCCGGGCTTGAGGCCCAACTTTCTTTTTTCTTGCAAAATAGTAACAAATAATAATATAGGAGGTTATTTTTTGTATGTGAGTCAATATTTTCAATATTATTTTTAAATTTTTATTGATAATCTAATTTATCAAATAATAATAATAATAATTTTAAATAAAATAAAAAATTATTTTATTAATATATATATATATATATATTTAATTTAAAATAAATCAATTTATTCTAATAAAAACTTCTATTTTTTATTTACATATTAAGATAAACTATTATTTTAGATAATTATATGGTTAAAAAATAAACAATGAAATATCTAAAATAAAAATTAACTTTATTAATATAATTCAAATTTAAAAAATATATTGTGTTGTTTTTTTTTTAGATGAATTCTTTTTATATAAAGATATTATAATTATTTTAAAAGTTTTAATCAAACTAAAATTATAATTCATTTTAAAATCTAGATGAGATAAGTTACCCAAATTTTTTTATACCCTTAATTATCATCTCCTCTTAAAAACAAAAATTCATAAAAAAAAATATCCTTTACATAAATCAAACATATGACATCATAATGTATATGACAATATCTGTCTAATATCTTACTCATTGAACTCTAATGTTATTTAAATTACTAATTTTCCATTTACCACATAGTACAAATTTGATATTGCATTTTCTTCCGGTTGCTCTTCTTAAAAAAATATTTTTATTAATTGAATTGAACTAATTAATTTGTTTTCTATACCGAATGTTAAAATGGCTGACCTACTATAATCATGACGGGTTGTAGATCTTAACCCGTCCGTTAAAAAACGAGATGTTTTGTCATAATTTTTTAAAAATTTAATTTATTATTTTTAAAATAAAAATTTTCAATAAATTTAATAATAAAATTATCATATATATATATATATATATTTAAAGTTAATAATATAAATCAACATATTATTTTAAGAAATTATAATTTAAAACAATAATAAAATTTATATAATAACAAATATATATAAATAATGTTAAAACTTGTAAATTTTATATTTTTTATATTTAAAATTTAAATATCTATATTTTTTTCATTTGATAAAATCTTACATTGTTCTTCCACTAATTCTTATATCTTTAATTTAAGTTATAAGGATAAAAACAACCAGCGTTTAACATAAATAAGAAAGAAATGATAAATAACAAGAGAAAATAAGAAAGGAATTTGTGCTTAACTAGTAAAAATATTTCTTATAACTAGTAAAATGAGACTTTTATTTTTATTTTTTTATAATTTTTAATTTTATATTAAATATATTATAATAAAAAAATATTTTTTATTAATTAGTTACGCCACAAACCATTAAAACTTATTGAAAAGATCAATTCATCCCATATTATAGTGAACTGACCGAGCCAGGCCCGTTTACCTAACAAATATATAAAAGTAATTGATAGTAGGGATTTGAATTGCTTATTCTGGATAATGATTAGATTTTGATAATTTAATACTCGAATGAACAACTTTATGATGTCAATTATCTTTGGTAATAAATCTATGATATTAACTCTAATTGGTAGAACATGACTTAAATTGATTTGAATTGTTAAATATTATTAATATGAAATTTGACATTATCAACCCATTAAAACTAAATATATTCAAATAATTAGTATAGAAGTCAATCATTACTCCAATTCAAATAATATTCATACCCAAAATTCAAGTTATGTTATTGTTTTCTATATCAATGAGAAGTTCAAAAGTCTCTCATGGTCACCTTCAAATTCAGAGCTTCTATATAGATTATACCTAGAATTACTGACACCAGTTTAAAAAATATAATCAAGCAAAACAGAAAATAATAAATAGCTAAGCTTGTGATGAAACCGGACATTTCATAGTCTTACAAATTCATGAATCAGTACAAGAGTACAGAATGAATATCAGCAACTACATTAGACAGGAGCACCCGTGACAAAGAAAGTAGCAGGCAAACAAAACCCACCACAAAATTGATAAGATTACAATGCCGCGGGTATCATCAACTTGACAAACAACAACACAAGTGCATACGTCAAAGTGGGTAATGGTTTCACCAAAGAACATGCAGCGGAAGCACCAGAAGAAAGGCCGCTAATAGGGCCATTTGCAGGAGAGAATCCTGGAAGCCCCGTCGAAGGAACCAGTGAGGATATGGGTGATGTAGGACCTGCTCCATCGAACAGTGGTGCTGGTGCTGGTGCAAACACTGTGTCTTTTGCAACGGTGGTAGGTGGGGCAACTAGAGGAGGGAATTCCTGTGAACCTGAAACATCATTTGAAATAGATTTAGAAGGCATTTCAGGACATACAAAGTATCTTTTTTGTCACCAAATTTTCTTTTGGGGTGAAGGTGATTGGAGTATGTTAAATTAGGAATTGCATCAAGAACATCCCTAATGATCCGGCCATCTAGAGCCACATACAGATTGCTAAGTTTCCTGTTATCACTTTAATCCGGATTGTAATGCTACACAACATCAAACCTAACTAAATTTTAACTCTGAAAATAAAGTCTATTCTAAAATCAAAATTTGCATGGATGGCACATAGAAAAAAGGTAAGAAGGTTGAAGGTGATTCATTGTCTGTGTCTCCAACATCAAACATAATTAGGAATCCCAAAGTAGCTGTATAGAAGATGTAATGCTCTTATGCCATCCTAGAATTTGAGTTTACCAATATTTAAACTCCAAAAGTAAGCTCAAGGGGTAGGAATTCCTTCCCTTTAACTTATCTACATTGTTTATGTCATATCAACCCATCTCAGTAAATAAATCATCCAAAATGAAAATCAAAACAAATATATGATCTATTTAAAATCTTTATAGATGAATAAAATTATTAGAAAGTGAATTGTACAATGTATCATGCATTTGAGGTGTGTTTATGTAACATTAACCTGGACATCGAGGCTGAAGAGAAGGGGACAACCTGCAAGGCGGGAACAAAAATTAAACAAGTTTAAACTCAAAGAATTGTTGAACTACATGAATTAGAACCACATGTATGCAGAGGGTAAACATACGTAGTTACTATGGTGCCATTAACAATTCCATCATAATTGCAAGAAGTAACATTGCAACCACCACTAGTTTGCTGCACTGTAACATTCCCAAGCATAAGGTTGCTGCCTCTACATTGCATGCTGGAGCAAGAAACAGCAAGAGAAGCCGGCATACAGTACAAACTGTAAAAAAAAGTAACAAACCACTAAACACCAGGTACAGCACCTCCTTAAACACTACAAGGACCATTTTTCACTTCACGCCCAAAAAATAGAGTCTAGGTTTATGCACTAGGGGAAGAGGAAAGCAAAATTAAAAACAGAAAACAAATAGTTGCTTAGTTTGTACTTCAAGTTTCTCGGCCCACAGCTACACTGGACACAGTGCCCCGCCGTAATGGCATAGCTTCCATTAGGGACAAGCAAACCAAAATCAGCGGCGGACTTAGGAAAATTAGAGGCACAGGCTGCAACAAGAGAAAAAAAGAAGTTATTAATTGAACATAAAATTATAAATTGCAAAAAAAAAGAAGGAAAAAGAGAACAGAAGCGAAGAGTTAGTTTATTACCAGGTATTGGAACAGCAAGGATATCACCGTCGTTAATGGCAGTGCTTCCCATGGCATTGACATTCATCAAATCCGTAAGCGTGGTGAAGTACCTGGCAGCAATGGCAGCGAGGGAATCGACGGGTCGAACAACGTAAGAGAGGTAAATGGCGGGGAGAGAGTTGTCGGAGCCATTGAAGCAGGTGCAGGGGAGAGGCACAACGAGGTTCTGCCCCACATCGAGGACGGACGGGTCGGGAATAGAGTTGGCCTCGCGGAGCTGGTCGGAGGAGACGAGGCCGCCGTAGACAGAGTCGGCTATGGAGGAGAGGGTGTCGGAGGGGCGCGTCTTGTAGTGCGTGGCGACGGACTTGCGAATGCCATCAACGCAGGCACACGAGATGGGGATCTTGAGGAAGAGCTTGGAAGGGAGGATGTGGTGCTCGACGTCGGGGTAGGAGATGTCGATGGCATTCGCGGTGAGAAGAGCGATGGGGTCGATTTGGAAGAGAGAAGCCACTTCCGAGACTTTGAGGTCAGTGTAGAGGGTGTATCCTAGAAGGGCGTTGCATGAGTCGGAGTTGGAGCATGGCTCGATCGTGGATTTACACACAGCCTGAAGAAGTAACGAGAGGAAGAGAGTACACTGAAGAAGGTGCTTTGGGTTTGGCATTCTGAAAATAGAAGGAGTGAGTTAGTGAAGAACTTAGTTAATGTGTGTTGAGTTTTTAAGAAACAGGGTATACAATATGGGAAACTGATTCTACGATGTCTGAATCTAAGAAGAGGAAAGAGTCTAGGGTTTTCTGGGCTATGTTCGCCCTCTCTGGGAAGTGAAGGAGCAGAGAGAAGAGCGTTGTGTTGGGGAGGGGAAAAGTTTCACTTTGAAAAGCGAAAGGGTGTATAGAGTAGGATACAGGTGTGTGTGTGCATAGAGACAGAAGGACTCTGTTTCTCACTCTCCATCATAGAGATTTCAACCTTAGTTGCTTCGCTGGACATCTTTGTCCTTCTCTCTCCAAAACCAAATCATACCTGTTTTCTCATAAATTTGAAATAATTTAATCCTAAAGGACCTTTATTATGGTTTTGTCCTTTAAACTGCAGGACTTGTGTCGGATTGGGTCTGAGGATATTTGGGTAAACTTATCAGTTTGATTTTTGGGATATGTGGACAATGGTGTGACCCACGTTGAAGTTTATATTGGTTGGTTCGTATAATTTGCTTTTTCAGGCATTTGGGTAAGGAATTTTAGTTTTCTTGGTGCCTTCATATGCCAATCCAACGCCGATACCTTCGCTAATTGGGAGTCCCACGATGGAAGCTAAACTAGTATTACATTCTTTTTAACAAATAATTAGGAAGTTCATCTATGTTTGACCCTGTTTATTTGTTACAGTGACCTCATCATGTCTTATTTATTACAATTATCATCTTTTTCATACAAATTACCATCCATTAGTTCAACTGTTTTAGATATGTGCCCAATTTATTCAAATTGTAGTATAATACTGTATAAAGTGTAAATGGTACATATTTAAAAGCATGGGCAACTTTAGAAAATTCTAACTAAGCAGTTGAAAATTGAATAATTTTTAACAGTTTAATAATATATTAGATATTTAATTGATATAATTTAATTATATATATATAATAGGATTTTCACCAGGTTAATAATATATTAAATATTTAATTATGTATATATATAATAATAATAGGATATTCACGACGTGGTTGAACTTGTTTTTTTATAAAATTAATTTAAACCATATCTATAAATTAAATATATTTAACTTATTTTGTTTTAAATTTAATAAAATACTTAACAAGAGTAAATTGATATTTATGATTCAATTTGAATAAGTTTTCACAAATTTTATTATTGTTATTATTAAATTCTTTAAATATTTTACAAACAAAATTATATTATTATGATTATATTTATAATTTCAATATCTTGTAAATATAAATAAATTATATAATTTTTAAATTAAAAAATATAATAAAAAGTCATTAAAATACTTTTAATAATCATAAATGCAAATACACATTCCATAAATATAATTTATGTGCGAATATTAATTGATAATTAATTTAAAATGTATTAGATTATATTTATTGGTTCGGTTTGATCTAATTATTAGTTTTTAATTTGAAATTCTATTTGAAAAAATAAATAGGGTAAAAAAAATCTAATAATGATAAAAATAAAAGTTTATAATTTATTATTAAAAATAAATGAATTATATTTTTTTCTTTAATAAAATTACTGGAGATAAAAAGTTTTTTTCAAATGAAAACGTTCTGAAATATGAAATGATTAAAAAAATATAATTTGAGTTCAGAAATAATATTTCTTAAAATTTTTAATGACAAATTAATTTTATTTTGTATTCATTATAAATTATGATTATAAAAAATCTTCTAATATATTTTAATACTAGTTAATAATGTAATTTTTTTTTTACATGTATAACAATTAAATAAGGTCACTCAGTTCATATTTATTCAAAAACCTTCTTATAAAATATATGAGGTGTTAGGTAGAAGTGAATTATTTGTAAAAATATGAAATTAGAAAAAATCGGTGTCTACATTTGATTTATCCTTTAAAAAAAAATTTTTTGGGGAATATTTGATAGGTAAAATTTTATAAAAACCATTATAAAGTCTTTTGTAAGTTAACATACAAGTTTTATTAAAAACAATATCGTATTATTTCTAAAATTATCTTGCTATTATTTTTTAATAAAAATTAGTTACATATTTATAACAATATATTTTATCAATTATACAATCACAATTTAAAAAAAAATACCCATATATCAAAATATTTCTCAAATGCAAAACTTCATCTTCTAGGCAACAAATACACTTTCTGCCTTTTCGAATTGGGCCAAACTTTATTCGAACCGTGGGCTTGTCACCCCAATACAATCTGAGGACAATGAAAACAGAAGGATTTTTTTACCTTTTCAGAGTAAAAAACAGATTTGAGAATAAATTATGGATACCAATCTAGATCACAAATTCATTTTTGTTATTTTTCAAAGGGAAATTTTATGTTATTATTTAAATTACATTTCAATTAAGTTTGAACTGAAATAGTTATTTTAATAATTTTAAAATAAAAAGAATCATGATTTATACTAAAAAAAAAAACTAGAGTGGGGTTTATGATTTATGAAGAGATAATTCATGGATGTTTATAGTGGTTTACTTCTAACTTAATTATATATTTTTTTTCTATAAATTTTTAAATATTTCCATAGTACAAAATCTGAAAACAGAAAAGACAATATATTTCATTAGTTCCCTCCAAATTGGGAGAGATCCAAACCTATTTCCCTCCATATCCTTCTCGCCCTAATAACAATTCTCAATAACGCTCCCCTTTCCTTTAACCCGAATTTTCAAAACCCTATCCAATAGATCTGATTCCAAGTCAATTCTATTGAGGTGGATCCCACCGCCACCTTCATGGACTGCAGTCCTTCCTCCAATGCCGTCCCGCCCCGCCGCAATGATCGCCGGAAGCTGGTTCAATCGACGCTCTTTCCTCTCATGCCACTGGAACCCGTTATGAAAAACCACAAAGAGGAAGAATGCGACGAGGATGACTCCGAGGCTGATAATAACAAAAAGAAGAGGAAGAGACCTAAGGCAAAAGTCACTCATCCAAAAAAGAGTTTTAGTAAGGTAGAATGTGACGAGGATTACTCTGAGGCTGATAATAACAAGAAGAAGAGGAAGAGGCCCAAGGCAAAAGCCACTCCTCCAAAAAAGAGTTATACTAAGGTAGTTCGTTGTTCTCTTATTTTTTTGGTTCAAAGTTTTGACTTTATCTATTTTTCTTCAGAAACCTTAATTATGAAATCTATAAGGTTTATCTCTCATGCTTAATAATGTTGGGGAAATTAAAGTATTGCTGGATGCATAGACATGCATAGAGAGAAGAAAATTGAGGACTTCAATTGTTAATTGTGATTTTAGTTCTGTTATTTTTCCTACCAGCGGAGTGCCACACCAAAGAAAAAGGCAACTGCTAACGGTACTAAGGGATTAACATCGCCGCAGGTGTTAGCTAATTCTGATCAGGTTAAGGCACCCGTCTATGATTTGTTTCTAGAAGCGAAAAAGTCTGCTGAGGTTAGTGTGTTTGGTTTTTAATTGTTGGAATTAGCTTAACTCATTGCTCTTCTGTGCTTTGAATTTGCGTGAAATAACAAAATTGGGTGAAATGTATGAATGGTGTAAATATACGAAGACAATGACCTGAAACTTTCATTGAATTGTTGCTTTAACTTCAGTTTCACATTTTCATTACCAGATAACTATGACAGTACAATCTCTGACATGTGTGTATTTTAAACCTTTTTTAAATCAGGAAGATGCAAGGGTGTACGCAGGACGGAAGGCACATCCATTTTTTTCATTATGGAAGGAGGGAAAAAAAGTTCATGACGCCAGTGTGTCAGAAAGTAATTTACCAACAGCTAAGAGTAAGCATAAAAGGACTACCTGTGGCCCCATTCATGTATTTGAAAATGTACAGGTATGTTACTTTTGGCTGGGAGTCTGGGATTTTCTATTGCTTTGCTCTGATGTGATTAAGGGGGTAATATATATTTTGTTGGTTTTTTGGTTTTGAATTCTGTAGCATTGCATTATTGAGTTAGGTGTAAAATTTGTTCATGCAGGATGATGCCTCATCCGTTGATTGGATAAACTGGACGTTCATGGAGAATCCCTCCTTTATGAATTACATTCCAGAGAGTTTAAATTCATCTGTTTTCGAGGGTTATGTTGAATCCTTAAATTTTGATAAGCTTCATAGTCCTTTGAATCCATCAGGCATTTCAATTTCTCAGGATGCCTTATCTTCACATAGACTTTCTATAATTCCAAACAATCTGGAAGAAGTATCACCATCAAACTCGGCTTCACTAGCAGAACATACAGCATGCTATCTGACATGTGAAAATGACAAACTGGTATATCATTTCTTGTATACTTTTAGTGAATGACCTCTGTAGTTCTGTCTCCAGTTACCTACTCTCTTTGCATAGCTGTGGTATGCATGTAATCCACAAAAGCTAGTTTAGAGTGTGAAAGGTACTTTATTATTTTTCTGAATTAGTTGTTAACTGCTGCCCAAAATTTGTTAAGAACTTGGAGGTGGATGAATCTATTCCTACAACTGTGCTAGCTGGCATTGTTAGCAAGTCTAAAGATACTGAGCGACTGAGTAGGTTTCTTCAAGAAAGGTTAGCAAAGGCATGACTCATGCCACACAAGTATCTTCATAGCAATACCATCAGTACATTTGGCAATACCCCATTATATATAATTATACTGAAACCATTAAATATTATCTAAATGATCAAAGATCAAATATGAATGTACACAACATTTTTGGACACTTGGTTACTTAGTAATTTGTATTATTGACTATTCATGCATGGTTGTATGATCAAGACATACTTAAAATAAGAAATTTCTCAATATACAAGTCCCTATGTATGTATCACTTTCTATCTATATTATATGTTCATTTCATGCATTTACAAATTCTAATTCCTCTTGCTGAACTTTATCTTGAGCAATAAATAAAAGCTGGGATTGTTTTTGTATGAAATATGTATAAAGTGATTCTAAACAATCTGGTAAAGAGATATCTGAGTAAATATATGTTTGAAGAAAAACTGAAAAACATTTAAGGGAGCAAATTCATTTCTTTTATACAAGTATATCTCGAACTCTTCATCTGATTTTATCTTAAATAATAAGATGAAGTATAAGCTATATATAAAAATGTATATATAAGGACTTGTGGAGATGATAAATTTAACGGCTGATAGTTACAGTTGGTTATCTGTTTATTGAATTTCTCCAAATTTCACCCTAATATTTATCTTGCCCTGTCAGAGCTAAAAGATCATGTTTATTATCTAGTCAAAGTAATTACCAGAATCTCACTAAATAAGAGTCAGAAAATCGCTTGTTCCATATAAATCCCGAATTGATAGAGAAGTAACTGATTTCATATACTTAATATTAATAATTTATGATTATGACATAATAGGTAGACTCCTGGCTGCTGTTTTTTTCACTTATGCTGAAATCAACTACAATAGAAGGTTTTGCAATTGTTTCCCTATGCTTTAATCTTTTCCACTGGCGAGGCTATGACTGTTTTTTAGATCCAATCAAGATAATCTTACGTCTAGGAAGACATATGTCCTAGGTAATTGATTGATTTATTTGAGATTATCTTGGCTTAAAGCAAGATGGTTTTAGATAGTTTTTGGTGTCCATCTTAATGATAGTAAGGGTTCTTGATGATAGCAATTATTTTTTCAATCTCAAATCTCTTTCTCTTATCATACGGTCTGGTGTATTTGTGTTCTTTGAGCAGTTAAGCACAGGGATTTATCAAATGTAAATGAGAAAATAAATGTACTTTGTTGCTTAGTTTTTTAAAATGTGTGACTGCATTTTTCATTTCAACAAGCTTAAGACATGTATTATACGAAGTTTATTTCTTGATAGTGAGTTTGACCTTTTATTCTGCAATCTGCATTGCAGTATGAGATCATACTACCGTAGTTGTGTAGATCTGGAGAAGTGCAACAACTTATGGACATATAAATACAGGCCAAGAAAGGCTGTTGAGGTATTTAAAAAAAAAAAATTAAGGTTGCATACTTAATTTTTCATTTTTATGATCTTAAGCTCTTAATTTTTTTGTTGTGATATTTTTAGGTTTGTGGTAATGATGAACCTGTGAATTTCTTGCGTGATTGGCTATGTCGTTGGCATGAAAGACGATATAAAAGCAGGAAGGATAACAATTGCCTGGATAAAAGTGACATGCAAGATGTTAATGATGACGATGATTATAAATGTTCTTATAGCGACTATGATTCAGAAGATATAGATGAGAAGGATTCCCTGCAAAAAGTTCTTTTAATTACTGGACCAATTGGGGTGTGTGAAAATCTACTTCAAAACTTTTGCATATAATTTACATGAATTGTTACCTATGCTCCTCATTTGTTTATACATTGAAGGCTACAATTACTCTGTAATATAATGGTCAGTTTCTGAAACTAATTTTAAAAGTTTATTGTATGGGAGAGTAAATATGATGACCTCAGAATTTTTCAAATATTTTCTTTCAGTAGGGCTAATCCCCTATTGATTATTTAACCCAATATAAAACCATGGGGAAGTGGAGAGTAGATAAAAAGTTGAAAAATTATAAAAACCATGGGTACATACATATATCCTAAGCTTTTTTATCACATGGTTTTTTGCTTCTGAGCAAAGTAAACTAGCAATTTTTTTATTCCTTTTACTTGAACGCCATCAAAACACACTAGATATGGCTGTTGTTATATCCTATTTTAAAATCATCCAGGAATGAATAGAAGCTTGTGGATTTCTCTGTAGATTATTGAATGCCAAGTCACAACTCTCTGCCTGCACTTGTACTGTTTCTACAACTAGTGTAACTGTTATTACTTACTAATGAATGTCCTTTTACCTTGCCAAGTTTAATCTGGCAATAGCCAAATCCCTATTTTCCTTTTAGTTATTGATTATTGATTTTGAACCTGTCTTTATTTTACCTTTTCAGTAAATAGTTGCCTCTGTTCATCTGTGTGTGATCATTGTAGTAAGAAAAAATCATTCATATTAATTTAATTGGAGTTCTAATAATAGTATCATGGACTTAGGAATGTTGATCTTCGTCTTTCATGCTAATTCAACAATATTTGCATAAAATCTAAACTTTACTGACCGTGCTTTCTAAATGCTCTTTTCCCTTGATAACTTTATCATCGTTGCAAAGCACTGTCATCATTTACTTTTTCTAGAACCAGTGTTTTTCCGGTGTAAACATTCCTGTTTATATTGGTAACTAATTATAAGTTAAATATTGCAGAGTGGCAAGTCATCAGCTGTATATGCTTGTGCCAAAGAGCAAGGGTTTAGCATTTTAGAGGTATCACAGTTTATGAATATATTTTTTAAATTTATGCTTATAAATTGATATACTTTGTAGTAATAATATTCATCGATTGACCCCATGGTATTGTAAATAGCCACCTTAAAATTTTATAAGCATTACTGAAGGTCAAGTACAATTATTGTTTAGCCGGATTTAAATATAGCCTGATGAAGTTCTGTCTTCCCTGAAATTTGAATTTTTGGTCTTTCCTGTTTAATGGGAAAATTGATTAGCTGAAAGATTGCTATTTTTGGTTTAAAACATTGAGAAAGTATGGTAGAAACACTTACTCGTATGCCAAGTTGCTAATCTGGGCTTTTCATACAAAGTTCTCGAGAAACAGATGTGGCCAATATATTTATTCCCCTCAAACATCTATCAACATTATGTTTTCTATTAAAACATCTACTAGTTGTTAAAACATTTATTCTTCTTGTCATGTATCTTTCTTTTCAACCATGAATATGGCCAAACTTAATTATTGTTCATGTTATCTAAACAGCTCAATTCATCACATTCTAGAAATGGGACTGCTATCAGGAACTTGGAAGAATCTCTTACTTCAATTGGGTTCCACAGGTTTGCTAACTTGTTCTATCAATGCTAGCTGATAACTTCCAATCTTCTGTGGCTGAGTAATTTTAACTAACTGTAATGGTCTTGCATTTACTTTCACTTTCCTGCAATATTTTGTTGGATTACTTGAGTGTTATATTTTTTTGAGGAGCAATTCAAATTTCTCAGGAAATCAAAGGTCTTTTGAACATGGAAGTGTATATTCCCTTGTTTGACTTTTATATAATAAACAATACTTTATGCAGGAAGCAATCTATCTTAAGTTGGAGATTCAAGAGTATAGTAATGTGATTATCCAATGGGTGAGAGCCAGAATAAAATTTTGATCTTAAAAAGGTCTTTTATAACTTCCTTATTGTAAGCTAACTCAGCATAATCTTTATGTTTGGCACTATGAGAATCCAAAACAATTCTTGAAGACGTGTAGTTTTTGCTTCTTTCTTCAAACACTGGTCATTTGCTGCTTTTATTTGCATCAACTGGGTCCTTCCCTTCTTCAATCCTCCGAGACAAGCTAAAATGTCTAGGTCTAAGTAGAGTATGATATTTATACTTAAAGTTCATTGTTGCATGATGTCCCTTGATTCAATTGTATTGAGTAAAACCAAGTTACTCCATAAAAGTAGCTTATATCGACCTGTTTTGTGATAATATATTATTTGATGTGCATATATTTCAGGCAATCACAAAACAAGGCGAGTTCACAGAAGAACTCTAAAAATTTGCCCCCATCTCCAACTCTGTTCAATGGTGGATCATCATTGAAGTTACTAGGTGAAAATGATGAGTCTGAAAAGTATAAATTCCATCCTCTAGTCCTAGTTGAGGATGTGGACATCCTTTACGCCGAAGATCGTGGATGTATAGCTGCCATACAACAGATTGCTGAGACTTCAAAGGGGCCAATTATATTGACCAGTAATAGTAAGATGACTAGTTAGAATGATGAATTTTTGCTTAACTCAGATTTTCTTGGATGTTCATATTAATGGAGACATACTGCTGTAATAGGTGATAATCCGGGTCTGCCACATAAGTTTGATAGGTTCCATGTTCCATTCGTGTTGCCATCGCCAAAGGAGTTGCTTTCGCATCTGTATACTGTATGTTTTTCAGTTTATGTTTTCAAGTAGTAAAACAAATTGTCCAAACGTATATTAATATTATATGAATTACCTGCAGGTTTGTCTCACTGAAGGAGTCAACATCCATCCTCTTTTAGTGGAGAAGTTTATACATTCTTGTGGTGGAGATATCCGAAAATCCATTATGCATCTTCAGTTCTGGTTTCAGAGTAAAACATTTCAAAAAGGTATACCTCACAGAATTTGGTTCATTTCTGTGTTTCTAGACCATATTAATGTATTAGTGGTAAGTTGTAGCATGTACATGTCAAATCAAAGCCAATATTTTGCCGTATACATTTATTGACTATCGAATTACATATAAGAGGTACGAGTGGCTGCAAGGGTAAAAAGAACTAGGAAAAGCAGTGAAATTAATTGAATCACTATTTATTTCAAAAACATTACTTTTGTTTCATCATCAGCACATTCATTATCCCCTGTTTTCATCTTGATCTTTCTTTAACTGTTGGGAAAGCTGCTTTTTAGTTTCTACATGAATTAAAAGTGTTTAGGAAGTGATTATGAAAAGTGTGGAGTGTTTAAGAAAGTAGTTTGTTTTACTCATCTAATTTTTTAGCACAATAACCTGTTTGTTTTTAATCTTGCTAGTGAATATTAGTATTCTCTTTTCACTCCCCATTTTCTCAATTGTTTTGGCTCCATTTTGGTAGATTTCCCCCTCTTAGGTCCTTTCAAAAGCTAACAACTCTAAAAGCTGTATTTTTTTGTTATGTTATTTGTGCTTATTAGGAATTAATATTGGAATATGATGTCATTTATAATTTTCATTATCTTGCCATTGTATTAATTTTCAAAACACTGCAGATGAAAAATCACAAACAGGTTATGGCTCACTTCCATTTGATCTTGAGCTTGGCCATCAGATTCTACCAAAGATAATGCCCTGGGATTTCCCCTCGGTGATATCTGAACTAATTGAGAATGAATTAACCAAACCAATAAATATAATGGAAGAAAACTCCAGAGGGTTAGTTACAGAAGAGCTTCACGTTAGTGATCGGCAAAAAGATTTAAATGTGAAATGTATGGAGACTGATTATATAGAGGCCAAGAAGGTGGAGATGATTAAGAGGAATGGATCGTTGACAGATTACAGTGAGCTTGAATTTCAATATGACGCTGTTTCTGAGTTTTCCAATTCTGCTGGTTCCCCACTAGCATCCTCCTCTAGGCATAATGGTCGGAGGAAACTTGTAGTTATGTCCTCTGATTCTGAGGACGAGGATTCAAACAATGGATATCCTGAATGCTCACATGATGAAGCTGATACGAGACAATTGATGAAAGAAAATAATGGTTGTCCCTCGGAGTTTCAATTAAAAGGAAACTACCCCGACACATCAATTCACAGGCTAGTTTGTTCCGATTTGGAGCATTCAGATGAAAAATATTTTAAATATTCAGAAACAGCTGATGGTATATACTTAAATGAAACATGTAAATCATTAGATGTATCTTGTGTGCCAGAATCAACGTTTGTTCCTGAAACAGAAATTGAAAATGGAACAGAGGCTATCTCTGGAGCCGTGTCTTCTGACCCTGCTGGCCCTCTTGTCAGTCCTCGAGAGGTATCCGTGAATAATGAGTTGAAACCATTCACTTTCAATGTTCGTAGGCGCTTAACAAAATTGTCACGAAATCCAGATTTGTATGTTGATACTGAAATTCCAGACTATTCTCTTAAAGGGGTTCAGCATGATGTTCAAGATGAACATATGGAACAGATTGTTAAAGTGATGGATGAGTGCAGTCGAATGGATTTCAAACTAAAGCCAACGTTTTTGCAGTCCAATCCATTAGACGAGACAGAAAAGATACAAAAAGTGTGGAGAGATCTCCGCGATGGTCGAATTGATTTGAGACAGCGTTCTACCGCAGATCAGCTTGGTACTTTTCAAGTTGTTAAACTTGCTAGTGGACTGTGCAATCTAATTTCAGACGCAGACTTGTTTCCTAAACGGGTAAGAGCCTTTTCAGCTGAAAATAAAATTGTGAAGTCTTTCTTCCTTTGCGTATTTGGCACTCAATTATGGTAGTATATGTATATGCAGGACGGAATGGAACCTTCAAGGTTCCTTTCTGACGAAGTCGCATCCAATGGGTATTGGGAACAAATGATGATGTCCACTGTTGCTGAACATGGGTTTTGCTTTTACGCCAAGCTTATATCAGATGAAGGATCAAAATTGGGCTGTGCAAAATGTGTTGATATTACTTCTGAGATGTTGACTTCGTCCACTGATATTATGGCATTGGGGAAATTATCCCGACAGGATCTCACGAAAATGAAAGACTTCCATACTGGAAATGAAGCAGAGTGGAATACCCCAATAAATAATATGCAGAAGAGGTATTTCTCCTTGCCTTCCATCTCTAGTCAATTCTCAATTCCCAATTTCTCGTGACAGATTTTAGGGTAGATTTTTTAAAAACATTTCTCTGCATGTCTCTCGATGTCAAACCTTACTTTGGGGCCTCTAATACAGTGAAAATAAAAAATCTCTGGTCGAGGTCATCCAATCCATTGCTCCTGCAAGAACATCCTTGACATTAAAAGGTGATGGATTCAACGAATATCTATCTTCATTACGCCAAATTTCAAGGTCAGAAGCTTTCCGCATTTCACAAGAGGTTGAAAAGAAGAGAGGAGGAAGGTAAATGTTGAGCAATTCAGTTTAGCCTTTTGATTTATCATAAGTTAACCAGGTTTCCTTGACTAGTTGCTCAACCACGTGTCAATGCAGGGTACGGGGCGTTCACCATTACTTGAGCATATGTACCACGTTGTCTTCTGAAGATATATCTTTGATGAGCGGTGGTGATCCGTACAGAAAGATTTCTTCACAACATACAACATAGAAGGCAATTTATAACTTCTGTATAGGTTTAATAATTCTCGTATATGCAGCTAGAAGCACGTCTTGACGATTGACATGGGATGACTGTTGTGACGGGCTAAGGTTGTAAATGGAACTAGAGCATTGACAAGAGCAGTGGAAGAGGAAGGAGGATTTAACCCAAATATGAAGAATCATTTTTTCATCTCTTTGTAAAGCAGCATATATTAGATTATTGTTACTAGGAAAAAATGAATATGGGTTGTATGTAGTTGATTAGAGAACCGACATCCATGTTTAATAATTAGATTGGTGTTCGGTCACATACCTGTGAGAAGCAATTTAATGGTTATTCCGAGAAGGTTAGACGTGAACTATGATTCTTGGAGAATCTATAACTTTGGGTTTATTGATTTATTTTAGAATGGTGAAAGTTAGAAACATTTTGTAAGCGGCAAACTAAGATGCAATAGACCAAAATAATGATAGGAAGACACGATGAATAAAAATAAGAATAACCTATATCATTGTATATATAAAAGAAATATAATTTTAAAACAATTTTTTAGTGTGCACGTTTTTGTCCTTTTTCATACATGAATTTTTCACATGAACTCACAAAACGCCAAAATATCAACACCGACACCAGCATGGTGCCATGTACTCAGGCAAGATTCTCATATCTTCTTTAAGAATAAGAGATATTTTTCTTTTTACTTTAAATTAACAAAACTATACCATTTAAGTCATGCGTATTAATGCTAAAGTGTTATTTTATGTGATATGCATGTTTTTTCTTTTATCATGTGAGATTCATAAGTTTTTTGTTTACATTATTTTATGTATTTATTTAAATTTGTCTTATGAAAAATAAAGATACCATTTAACTTTTCTATTGAATTTATGGATTTTTCTATAGAAAAAAAAAGAGTTCAGTTGTCACATGATAAATGAAAAGATGAGAAAAAAAAATATTTGATAGGGAAAAAAATAACTACTCAACTAATTTTACTTATTTCTATCTGTTTTTCTTAAATAAAAAGTTTTTGTTTAACCTTTTTTTTTACTTAAAGATCCTTAAAATGACCATTGGGGATATTTTTCTTAGAAAGGCCACCAATACAAAATTTGTTGTAATGAAATAATGATTATAAGGTCCTTAATTCTGTGTTTGTTTGAACTAATTTACTGTTCACGCGGACAGAAGTGCGAGGATGACACACGTTTGGTTGAATCGATTTGCGACGAAATGCGACGAAATGAAAGCGAGGAAAAGCGGGAGAGAGGAGAAATGGGTTCTTCGCTGATGCACGAAGAAATGAGATGAAAGCTGACTGGACAAATTGAAATGTCCAACTTACCCTCACTCTGCAAGAGTGCATGACCATCTCATTAGATAGCGGTTAAAAAGAAAACCGCTATCTCAAATACGTCTTAGATAGCGGTTAAAAAGACAACCTCTATCTCAAATACATCTTAGATAGCGGTTAAACACACAACCGCTATCTAATCCTAATTTCGAATATAATTGAACTTTTTCTTAACCGCGATGGTTGTATATGATAGCGGTTAAATCTTAACCGCTATTATAATATCACTTCTAATAGCGGTTAAAACATAACCGCTATTATATATTTCCAGATATGTTCGCTCATATGAAAATGTAGTCGATCATAATCGACAAATGTGAATGTCGCTCGAGCGAGTTCAGTTTCGCTCAAGCGAAAAAGGACCCCAGCATGAAAATTATGTGCAGGTGTCTTCGCTCGAGCGAGTTTAATGTCGCTCAAGCGAAATACAACTTATAATAGCGGTTAAACCATAACCGCTATCTAATATATGCTTTAAATAGCGGTTACAGAGGAACCGCTATGATATCTTCCAATTATGATCGATCATTTGAAATTATGATCGATTAGGATGATATTTCGCTCGAGCGAGGGTATAATCGCTCAAGCGAAATACAACCCGAGACTCGAATCTTAAAATATTTTTTTCAATATTATGTTTTTTAATATGTTATTAGAGAAAACCTTTCGGAATTCAAAATATTAAATTATATTTTAGAATATATATATATAGCTATATAATTTTCTATCAAAATTATATATTCTCAAATATAATTTATTTTCATTTCTATAATATATATATATAAATTTTAGTTATATTGTGGAATATATATTTTATATTACAGTAATTAATATAAATTATATTTTAGAATATGTATATATATATATATATATATATATATATATATAATTATACATTAAAATAAATTCAAATTCTTGAGCCTTTAGATAGCGGTTATTGTGGAACCGCTATCATATGTCAACATATGATAGCGGTTCGAGGTGAACCGCTATGTTAAGTGTCCAGGTTTTGGAAAAGTGATCGATCATTTTGGCAAAATAATCGATCATTTGAGAACTTTAGATAGCGGTTAACATATAACCGCTATCTTATATATATTTGTAATAGCGGTTATTACTGGAACCGTTATCTAAAATCTTGATCATTTGACAAATTATATATTCTAAACACGACGGAAGGAGGTAAGTCATGACCGGAAGTCACGGGTCTGTACATGCAGTGGTCACGGTCTGTACATGCGAGTGGTCACTGGCTGCATGCACCAACTTCACGTGTTCACGAGTGATAGAAGTTACAGGACTTATTCTTTCTTCTCTTGTTACAGCCGATAGGGAAAGTTATTGTATTATATAAAGCAAAGCTAGTCTCATTAGACTAGCTAAAAGACTCTAGCAAAGCAAAGCAAAGCTACTCTGTTGTAGGTTGGATCTTCGCCGGCGGCCATTAACTTCGGTGTGACCTTGGTTGGTACGTTTATTTTTGGTATATTGTCGGAGGAACACCCCAGGTATGGTTCTGTGTCTTCTCTGTCGTGGTTGGAACATAAAACTTGGTTGGTACGTTTGTTTTTGGAGTCTGTCTGCATGCATAAGAGTGTGTGTCACCATTCACATTTGAGGTATAAAACATTAATTAATTAATTAATTAATTAATTATATATATATATATATATATATATATATATATACATTTGAGGTATTTTATATTTGTTTTAAATAATAATTGACAATTATATTATTAGTTTTCATAATTATTTGTTATTATCAATCAATATTAATTATTATTTTATATTTTATAATTATTTAATTATTAGTCAAATAATTTATTTAATATGTCAAAATTATTTGAATATGGATATGCAATGTACATAATTTTGTAATTGTTTGTTTATATAATTTTTAATAACTATTTAAAAAAATTTAATTTTTTAAATTTGTTTCCAATTACAAATACTTGTAATTTTGTTTTTTCTTTTAAATTATAATCAATGTTAAAATATGGATAATTAATTAAAAAATAATATTTATAATCATTTCAACCTTATTTTATACAAATGGTAAAATGGTAACTTTCTTAAATGTCAACATATGATAGCGGTTAACCTGGAACCGCTATCATAGATGAACATATGATAGCGGTTCCAGGTTAACCGCTATCTAAAGTCTCGAGTATATAAAAATGTGATCGATCATTTTGGCAAAGTAATCGATTAGATTTTCAAATACTCGACACTTTAGATAGCGGTTAACGTGGAACCGCTATCATATGTTCACCTCTGATAGCGGTTCCAGGTTAACCGCTATCTAAAGTCTCGAGTATTTAACATTCTAATCGATCATTTTGGCAAAGTAATCGATCGAATTTCAAATACTTCGACTTTAGATAGCGGTTAACCTGGAACCGCTATCGAGGTGCACATATGATAGCGGTTCAGGTTAACCGCTATCTAAAGTCGATCATTTGAAAATTTATATCTTCTAAAATATAATTTACTTTCATTTCATAATTATTTGTTATTATCAATCGATATTAATTATTATTTTATATTTTATAATTATTTAATAATTAGTCAAATAATTTAATTAATATGTGAAAATTATTTGAATATGGATATGCAATGTACATAATTTTGTAATTGTTAAATTATATAATTTTTAATAACTATTTAAAAAAAGTTAATTTTTTAAATTTGTTTCCAATTACAAATACTTGTAAATTTGTTTTTTCTTTTAAATATATAATCAATGTTAAAATATGGATAATTAATTAAAAAATTATATTTATAATCATTTGAACCTTATTTTATACAAAGGGTAAAATAGTAATTTTCTTACATAATCAACATAAAATTATAATTTTTATATCTCATATCCATCAAATCATTCACAATTTCCCATAAATTTTCCTCACACTTTCCATTCATCCAAACAATATTAACTTTACCTTCATTTCTCTTCAAATCCCTCCTTTTCCACTCTCTCATTTCCACTCTCTCAAATCACTCCACCCAAACAAGGGTAAAAGTGTTGGTGTGTACAGATAGAGCAATGAGATTCTGTTCTTATTTTATATTTTTCTTCCATTGCTTTTTGCATACCAAACCTGCCACTCCCCCAGGCTTGACCCTGGTCTCAGTCTCTGTCTCTCCAGAACTTTGGTGGTATAGACAGCCATAATTGGCATCACTGCATTTTACTTGGTTTTCCCTTCCCCTTTCAAATGTCATCACCCCAATACTTATCTTAGCACCACCCATGCTACATCATCTGGCCATGATTTATTTAGTTTAGAAGAAGAAAGTTATTTTTATTTGTTTGGTGGATGAAGAATACAAAAAGTAATGAAAAATATTGCAATATTTTTTTTTTTTTATCAACTCAACTCAATTCAATTACATATTTGTTTTTATTTTTTTCTATTTTCAATTATTCTTATTTAAAAAAAAATTCAACTTTTTTTTCTGTTTTTATATACTATATTCATTTTGTCAAATTCAAACATATCACCAGATAGTTAAAAGATAAAAATATCAAAATAGAACCGACTTGGCATTGCCACGTGTATATATATTATAATAAAAATAAAAAATAAAAGAAAAATATCAATTAAGTGTTGAAATTTTTAGTGTTTGAAATAGGTACAGAAGAGTTGGATGAGGTGCGTTGAATTAAATTAACTCATCTATGTTACACTGCTTTGTGAAACATACCTCTAAAATTAGGTTGGATATATACTATTATTAGTAGTTGCCAACCAATAGATAGGTAAGCTTTACATAAATACTTCTTTATTTGTAGTGAAAAATTAAGGTTGGTTCTGATTTTAGATTAACTAATTAATGATCATTATAATATTTTTGGTTATTTCATGGGTGAATTTTAGGAACACTCTTTTATAACCCATGGTCTTAAATGTTTGAGAATATGACCAATCAACTCATCTTATAAGCACATAGTCCATCTAAAATTAAAGTTTTAATTCACTCCTAAAACTAACTCAACCTAACTTAATTTTCTTACAACATGAAGATGGGTTAATGATTTTTGTTGCTTTGAAGTGTTTATATAATATTTAAATAACTATGTTATTGAATTTTTTAGTTGAGACTAATAAAATTATAATAATATTACAATTATTATATGGGAGGTATTCTTTGTTTTAAAAATTATAGTTTTGTTTTTAATAGGATGTTAGTAGGTTAATATATATATAAAATAAATTAGTATTAGTCTTGAAATGATACTATTAAAATATAATTTTTAAGATGATAAAAAAATGTTTGTCAGTAATAACACCAATATTTTATCTAAAAAATATAATATAATGATATTATAATATCATTATGATTCTAATTATATTTAAATTATTTTTCAATAATAATGTTATTTTTGAAAATAGTGTTTAATAAAAGAGAAAAATATATATTTAAAAAAAATGAGATCCATTATATCATTATTTACTTATTTTGTTTCATTTATTTATTTATTCATTCATGTTATTTTACACCTATTTTCATTCACTCAATTTGTCTCTTCTAACAACTTACAATAGACCTAAAAAAATTCTCTTTTATGTTGAACCACTCCTATGATAAACGCATGATGGAACAAGGAATGATTCCTAAAAAAACGATGAATCTACGCCTTTCTGTCTGGTATTATTTCTAAGTCCTCTCTACTCAACTTGGGTATACACATAGATAGGTTATCCAATATAGATAATGAGACATATTTCTCGTTGTTGTTAGATGCTACCATGGAACCTTTTCAACCAGGATTGAAGTTGATATCAAAAACCTTGTCAAGTTCCATAACATCTAATTTGGGATGAACATGGTGAGAAACGAACATTGAGAAAGACGTGCAATGTTTAAATATAACTCTTGTCGCATTGTGAATGATAAACAATATCTATATATTATATATAGTACTTCACGAGACGCTGAACACTATTTCGTCTCTACTCTCTTTGTTGCTCATTCCAATGTTTAGGTGAATGAATGACATGCATGATCATGTTCTCTTATTAACTGCCATTTAACGTTATATACACACACAAACATACATTGCTGAATCAAAGTGTTCGTGCTCGTGAATCAAACCATGCATCGTAAGTTGTAAATTTGTCATATGCTTATGTACGAGGTCTTCGGCTATATGTTTGTAGTGCAACACCTTCAATGTATTTGTTTTTATGTTTACACGACTACGTCATTTTACTTTCAATGAGTCTCAAATATTCAACAGTTATAAAATAATTTACTTTTCGTTTCATTAATTGTCTTGTTATCAAACATTTATATCACTATCTCTTATGTAAAATTGTATTTTGAGAGCTTATATTAATTTTGATGGATCTTTTCCATTCAATTTTTTTAATAGAAGATTTCATTTTAAAATATTAAGCTTTTTTTTTTTATATATAAATTCTACAATTTGGTCTCTTTTTTTATAAGCTTCTATTTACGAGACTTTTGTGAAAAAATTATTTTATAAATTGGAGAAATCTTGAGATCTTGTTTTAAAGATTCTAGCTGAAGGTCAGAACTAAATATTAAGTATTTTCGCTGATGTCAAAGAGATTTTTAAAGTTTGATATTTATTATAAGTGGAAAAATTGAATAATTTATAAATAAATATGATTCATTATAATTTAATGTTTTTATTAAATTTGGTATCATATTTATGTTTTCATTCGTGAAAAATTGCTTTGTGAAAATATACTCTTCACTATTATAAAAATTTAATATTAAAATTTGTTTGTTGTTTATTGCAGTAAGTGTCGGTTTAACTAAGAGAGATTGATGAAGCTAATTCAAATGTAATAAAAATACATATTTAAATAAATCTAAATTCCATATTCTATAACCATGATATAAAAATAACCCATTTGTCATTTTCCCATGTAGTACTGTTTCCTTTTTTATTCCTTCTTCGGTTCACTGTATTTTAATTTCACTCTTTCTTACCCGAGTTTATATTTTTTTCTCCTCTTTCTTTTTTTCAAAAGAATTGAAAAATATATAATTTTTACATATTTATATTTACTTTCTAAAAAAATAATTGTTTTAATCACTAAAGTATTTTTATTACTTTATTAAAATTATTTATGTCGTTATATATTAACTCTTGTTCTCATCATCTCATTTTTATGTTGCCTCTTAATTTCTTTCAATTTTTTTCTCTTTGAATCAAATATACATAAAAGTACGACTTTGGTTGAAAAAGTGTTGAAACTTGTGTCCTTTAACCAAGCAAACAACAAGAGTGAAAACAAGCATGGTGAGTTGATTTGGATAAGAATAAGTATTTTTTCAATAGAAATGATGTGCATTTATTCAAATTGAATAAAACATCACCCACGTTTAGTTTTCCATCTTAAATTAATATTAACACAAAATCACACCAAACTTAATGTAAAAACAACGTTAATATTAATCACATAAACAATATTATTAATGAATCTGATCCACAAAATTACGACAAAACCCTTGCATCTATAATTAATTAGGTTTAGGAGGGAAAGGGTAAAATGGTAGTTTGGGCGAACGTGGTTGAGTACTTGAGTTGGTTCAGCGAGGCATACGGGAGCAATAATTTGAAGGTTCGAAATTGTGTGGTGTGAAGCACAGCACTCGCTCGTCTTCCACAACCAAACAAAACAAAACCCAATTCACGAGGGCCTCTATTTCTTTCTGACACTCTTTCCTTTTTATGCATAAATAACTCATCATATTAATTAATAAAACCTTTTATTATTTTAATCTTTTCAAACTGCTTATTATTATAGTCTGTCACAAGTCAGGATCTTTACTGCTGTCTGACCTCTGACGAGTGAATGAGAAGTAAAGAAATTTTTATTTTATTCAAAAAATATCTGCACTGTATTATTGCTATTATCTTCCTATTTTTTTTAATTTAATTGTGTTGATTTGGGGATTCTATTTACTGGGTTGGAGGAGAAATGCAACCACGTTTGAAATCCTAGATTGATTAGAAGTTATATGTTTATCTGATATTTTCTTCATGCCAAATATTTTTTGCTTCATCATTATCTTCCTATTCTTTTTGTTCGGATCTCGAAGACAAACAATTGATTTTATTTTGGAATGTGAAGTTATCAAACTCATGCTTCCTGCTAAAATGGTTAAAACTTAAAAATCACCGTCATGTTCAATTTTGAAAGCTACTTGTACGATGGAGTTAAAGCAGCACAGATAATGACAATTACAGAAATATTGTTTCTGCAATCGTTTTTAAAAAATGTTTAATTTATCAGTTTTGGTAAAAATAAAGGCATTAATCTAAGTAGTTACAAACGATTCCCCAGGCAAGCTCAATTGGGTGAACTGCTTTGGTGAAAGTGGGTTGCATTTATATCCACCTCCAAATAGTAACAGTGTAAACTGTTCAGGAGAGAGCCACTATGAATGCATTGTGATCCCATTAACATGGTTATATAATTATTTTTGGAGAAACATATTTTATCTATAAAGCATAAAACATGTTTCATGGTGAGATTAAGATGCATTTTTGGATCCAAGAGGTTGCCCTGAAAATCATGATTCTGTCCAGATACAATAGTGATCTGATTAATGGAATTGAGTGCTGAGGATAAGTCTTGTGATGGACCACTATAGATCCTGTGGCATGGGTAACGCATCATAGGTTATGGGTGATTTACTCTTTAATATCGTTATTATTAGTTAACGATATTAGTTTATGGTGACAAAACAAGTATTACTACAATGGTACAAAAGATTCTGGAACTGGAATAGATGAAAAAGATTTCCCAAAGATCCTGTTTTGCATCATGCACAAAACAGACCTCAGATTCCCGTGACACTTTAATCTACGCAAAAATAAAAGCCCCTAACTTTGCAATTTTGCCTCACGTATTCCCCCACATCACCCTCTACCTACTGCATCTCTCTCTCTCTCTCTCTCTCTCTCTCTCTCTAGGAACTAGGAAGTGCAAGTGTTTTCCCAACTATAGTAATCTGTCAAACAATACCTCTGCTACACTCTAGCACTCTACCTCCACTTTATCTAGTAATAATAGTACGGTACTACACTTGCGGTTGGATAAATCGAGTGTCAAGGGTGTTCTAGAGATCAATGCTCAGTTCTTCGGCTTCGTTTTTGAGGCAGTTAAGTGCAAAGGAGACTTGGAAATCAACGTTGAGTGGGAGAGAGAGTTATATTAGAAGTGGTTGGGGAGTGAGAGTTGGAGGGTGTGAGGCAAGCGTGAATCTAATGGAAGGATTTAACATGCACGGGAATGAGGAGAGTGGGGTCATGGGGAGGAAGAGGGTGATGGTGGTGGTTGATGGCACTTCACATTCCAAGCATGCAATGATGTGGGCACTCACTCATGTAGCTAATAAGGGTGATTCCTTGACTCTGCTTCATATTGTCCCTCCACATAAGGGTCCTGAATCTTCTTGTTCCACCTATCTTGTCAATTATCTTGGGTCCCTTTGCAAAGATTGCAAGCCAGGGGTAAGTTGGTTATGTTTGTTTGTGGCAAGTATTGATTGTTTGCTTGTTTGTTACTTGTTTCCTTTCATTTACTGTGTTCAAAGGGAAAGAACTGTTGCTCTGTTCTTCTCTTCAGTTTCCATTCTGTGCGTGTAGAGAGGCAAACGAAGTCATTGCGCTTGGTAGTTCTTGATTCAAGTAGGTATTTTGATTCAACAATAGAGGAGTAGGAAGCCGCTTCCCTTTCTCTTTCTCTCTTTCTTTCTTTTTTTTTTTTTCTTTTAATATTGTCTCTTTTGCCATTGTTTCTTTACCAACTTTTAATTTCTTTAGATGCCAAATGGTATTGGCTTCTTGCATTAGTCCCTTCTTTTATTTTCACTTTTCAGAGAACAACCATGATAAGTTTTCAGATGTTTCAGCTTTTCTTTTAACATTTCTTATGTTGTTTCTTCCCCTCGTTGAATGAAGAGTGACTGATTATGTTTTGATCTGACATAGGTGGAAGTGGAAGCGCTCGTAATCCAAGGACCAAAACTGGCCACAGTAATGAGCCAAGTAAAGAAGTTGGAGGTCTCTGTCCTGGTACTGGGCCAAAAGAAGCCGTCTTCTCTTTTAAGTTGGTGAGTTCTATCATCCACATGCAATCCGCAACCTCTGATACCAAATTCTAAATTTCTTGTTACTCAGTTTGAATTTTCAAGCGATTCAGTGTATGCAGTTTAACGTGTTAACAATTATTTCTGCAGTATTTGTGGAAGCAGCGGTAGCAGTAGTACAGAGGATTTTGTGAAGTATTGCATCAATAAAGCAGAGTGCTTGACAATTGGAGTGAGGAAGAGGAGCCAGGGCACGAATGGATACCTGATTAGCACTAGGTGGCAGAAGAACTTCTGGCTTTTGGCTTAGATTGAAAATTTAGAAGCTGCTCGTTCAAGTCTTAGAAGGATAAAAGGGGTAAAGGGTAAAAGAAACCTTTGCATCTGCATCGTCATCTATAATCTATACCACCTTGTAACTAGTTCTAACTATATCGTGCACTAATGTCAAGAGTGATCATGGAATCTGACTTGAGTAAAAATAATAGTAAAATTGTCCATGCTTGTGAACAAGATAGGTTCTATTACTTGCTACTTCAGTGACAGAGCTGGTAAAGAGAAAGCTATCATCAGCGGGCATATTAACTTTTGCAGCACTTTTTATTGATAAGTGTACCATTCCTACTATAATAAAAGAAGTCTATTTCAATTTATCGTTTAAATTATTTGTATTGTAAATTACATACAGTTGAATTACTAGTTGACAATTCGGCCCATTGTTTACGATTAACGACAAGAAACAGGCAATTTTTTGTCAATAAACGTTAGTCTGTCAAATTTGTTGCCATGAGAATACGTGTGCACCTTAAAAAATAACAATAAAAATTAATAATCGGCAGCGAATTTACAGTGCATACAATCAAACGGGAATATAGAAGGCAAATGGAGACCAAACAAACTCACCACTTGGTGGGGACGGGAAAAACAGAAAAAGAGAATTGACAAAGATGGAAGAGGGCCAGAATAGCAGAAGAAAAAGAAAGAACCTTGTATTAAAATTTTTGGGTAATCTAACAATAAATAACCAAAGTCATTTTAATGTTGTTTTTATACCTATTGCTATTACTGCCTTCCAAAAGGCTGAAACCTCTTTCACGCGTAGCTAAACCAACTAGACCTTATCTTCTAATTTATCATTTACAAGAGGAAGCAACTCCATCTTACTCCGAGGGGTCCTGGGAGTCCTGGGGGTCCGAGGAGTTCCTGGTACTGGTGGCTGTTGGGAGAGCATGTGCCTCACGTAACCATAGAATGTACAACCCACAAGAGTCACGGCACATCCAACAGAATTTAAATATGAAATTGGGTTCCTAAATATCAGCCAAGAAACAAGGACAGCAACTGCAACCTGCACAAAAAATATGAATCTGATTAATATGAAAATTGTTAAATAATCATGGCTTTTCTCGTTTAAGGTAATACACAGGTGAAGAAATTAATTGCGTATATCAATTACCATGACAAAATAACGTTATTTAACTAAAATGCTCTTGTTCATTATAATAATAAAAAGTAAAAATAACTAAATAAAATGTCCATAAATAAGGGTATTACTGGAGAAATAAATAAATTCTTTCTTGATATTCCAAAGTAAGAAAATAATTAAGACAAAAATATTCAAAAAATCACAAATAAAATGAAAGAGTTATACAGGGAGTATGATTTAACATACCATACTTCAGTTTCACCATAAAGAAAACTCACTATGCCACCTTAACATCAGTAATGCTTTTAACACAAACACATTACCATGCATTAACTTGCGAAGTCAAAGAATGAAGATAGTAAATTCAATGCAACTTGAAAGTAAATGTCAAAGTAAAATGAATGAAAGAGCGAGAGGAGAGAAACGCATCTCGTGCAAGAACCATGATATAATGTGGGCTACAGCTCGCCGGGTATTAAATACGATAAAAATGAACAATTTCTCAAAACACATTAATTGATAATCATGATACTTGAAGTTATGCATAATAAATCTCACCTTAAGATTTCCGGCAACATTAAATGTTACAGCAGTGGTGGAGTGAATCACATAAAAAATGGAGAAGTTAAGACAGAAAGCCAAGACCCCGGAGCTAAAGATAATGATGACAGCTGACCACGGATATGGATGGGTACTAAACCACTCAAGGATTCCATTGCCTTCAAGTAATAGGGCAGGAAGCGCCAAGATCATGGTTGCAAAAGGTGCCATATAATAAACTGTGTTTATGCTAAGATACATAAAAAAGAAAAGTTAGTTTGTCTGCTGCAGAAAATTCAAGGCAAAGCAATTCAGAGAAACCAAACATGACCCGAGTAGAATAAACAGCATAGCCAAGGCAAATACAAGGAAGAACAACAGGCCAAACGTCACTACCCCAAAAAAATGTCATGGGTGCAATTTCGTGGATGCATACTATAAGTATCACTGAAGTGTTAGGACTTAAGCATAAAAGAAGAGCCCAACCTATAGTTCATTAGGCGGGAGAAGCTCAAGCTTTAAGTTGCTCATCCTACTAAATGTGGAACTCCTACATTGTCACCCTTAAATGGGTTGACGTCACGGTGACTTCACTCTATTAACACGTTGGTAGTTCTTTTCTCTATTAACACCTTGGTAGTTCTTTTCTGTCTGACGATTTCACTTATCTATCAATATTTGGTTCGCACCTAAATCCAGCCTATAAATAACGCTTTCCTAACCCAACTCTCGACCAAGAGCACTAATTGTTGGGAATTATGCACAAGAGAAAGGCCTAATCCAAAAGACTAGTCCATTGAGAGAACCTCAAGGCTTAAGTACCGCACTAAGTAACTTATCCTACACAATGTAGGACTCTTTTAACATAAAGCCTTTACAAAGGCTTGAGGCATGAACCTTCGAATGAGGTAAAGCCTACCCTCCTAAACTTTCAAGTACTGCTTAGCTACAAGCTTACAGCAATAAAGAAGTTTTTGTATTATCATATAACACAAACATTGATTATTAATAAATACATTCACCATATAAAGGGCCTTCTACATTAATTTATGGGTGAAATTCAGCAATTTTTTGCTTTGGATGATTTGCATTTGGTTGTTAATAATTGACTTGCTGCAATCAAAATAAGCACCAAGCAGTACCCAGGGATGTTCTTAGCTCCAATATATAATACTTCCTAGCTCTACATTGAAGAAAAAGGTTAATAAAAAACGCTGAGGCAAAACCCATTTTCAACAATAAAGAATATTACAAACATGGAAATAACTAGGAAGTGGAAAGCCTACATACTGGGAAATCCAGAAATGGAAAAAATTGAGAAAGGAAATAAAGAAAACCAAAAAACAAAGTTGCAACAAAGGAAATTCAAACATAAAGATGGCACCTGTCAAATTTGTATCCATGCAGAAGAGATTCTGCGAGAATAGTCTTTGTAGAAGTAGCCAGACAGCCAAATAATGCAGCACAAAATCCAAACATATTAAAACTAAGCTCTGTTACAGATGTGAGAAGAATCCCTCCAACAATGGGTATAAGAGAAGCCCAAATACGCCAGTCAAAATACTTCCTCCACACCAGCCATTGCAAAACAACTGCACCAGTTCGCCAAGATAAGATGTAATTGTATATATCCTCAAGTCTCAATATAAATCAGGTAGCAACTATGTGGCAGAAATGTTAAAACGTACTACACCTACCTGTGGTGGCAGGTGTGAATGACTTTATTGTCTGCATAAAAGAAACTGGAATGTATCGTAGGCTCACATTCCCCAGCACTATGTTAATACAGAACACAAAGGACATTGGGAAGATTCTTCGCCAGCGATCTTCAGGGTCAACAGTTATCAGTGGCTTAAGCTTCAGCACCTTAATTACCACATATCCTCCAATGGCTGAACAGATAAAGTGGACACATGAAACTGATAGGGGAAACTTGAAATCCAATTTCTGCAAAAAAAAAAAAAAAGTATTAAAGATTGATAAACCCTTTTATTCTTTAAAGATGGAACACAAGCATAGAAGATATAAACAGTCAGTGACAGATCATTTAGGTCCTCATAATGTCATCAAGCAATGGTTATTTAAAAAACAACTCCCTGACAAATGGAGTTTTGAGAACCAGGGATGAAACCTATGAAAACCATCGGACCTTGACTAACAAGCAAAATACAGAATGGAATCGTGTAGAATATACACACCAATAGAAAGCCCAATCTCCAAGGGAAAAAATATACACTTTATAGAAGCTTTAAAGACACAGTTACTGTTGATCAAAAATTATAACACACATACTTCCAGTTAGAATCATTTTTTAATTTGTTTGAAAATCATAATAAGCTTTGTTCCCAGTAGGAAAGTTACATTACAGTAGCAGTATTTTTCAGATTTAGGTTCAACTGTTTTAAATTCACATGACAGACTCCAAGATTTAAACACAGATGGATTTTGCAATGATTACCAAGCAATGGTCTCAGGTCAATTGCACCATACACAAGAACGTAAAGATTAAATTAAACTCGTAAACACCCCCAGATAGAAAACAAAAATAAAACAAAATCCAGGTTAATAACTTGAGAAAGTAAGAGAAACCTACAAGTGCACGTAGGAGTACCGGGCAATTGAGTAGATCAGTAACGAAACACGATTTTTGAATTACAATCTAACTTGGTGGACATGCTAGGATTACGTTTATGTTTTTTATTAATCATGAGAGAAGAATCGCTATCTTCATTAATTTCCAAAGTCGTTTTGAACACAAAAAGAAATCGATCCAGGCACACAACAGCAACAAGGATTTCGACTAACGACTGGAATTCTACAAATCAAAACGCATCGCCGAAAATAGCAATCAACATAAACACTCGAAAAAACAGTAATTCATGTGAATTTCATTCTGAAAGCACGCTCGGACAGTTTCACGACACACGAGGCATCCGAGTCGAGCTTCCTAAAGACGAAATCTAACAAAATCCACGCATCACATCACACAAATAACGAACGAAAACGAACAAACATAAAACAAATCTGGTAAATTAGAAAAGAAGAAGCGAATCGGCGATTCTTTGGAAATTGAAATGAGAGGAAGGAGGAGTGTGGGAACCTGGAAGATCCACTTGTTGACGATGATTACGGTGACATTGAAAGCCCACCACTGAAGGATGGACAAGAGAGATCTGATATCGCTCCACTGGAAAACGAAACTCTCTTCCATCTACGGTTTCAGAGACACGGCTATCGTCTGTTGTGGCTTCGAGAATAGGAATGAAGAGAACGAAGAGCAAGAGGAGGGGTCGAACTCGTAACGGTGAATGACGAGTAAGAGGCACCTCTTCTGCTCTCTGTAATTTGTTTTCCCCCTCTCTCTCCCTCTCTCTCTCCCTTTTATTATGCAAGGAAAAATATTTCGAAACGTTTCAGTTCGATTTCGCTCTCACCCCGTCACGCCATGGAAATTTCATGTTTCTTTCTGCTTTGGTTGGTGGGGTATGTGGGTCCCAAGGTATTCCAGCTCCGAGGTTCAGGGTCAATTTCGTCAGAAATCAAGATCTCTGCTTCACAATCCACGTTCCCCTCTTTTTCAAAACTCTTATCTCAATTTGTTTTTCTTTTCCTTCCTACAATAGTTTTTATTGGGACTTTATTAATTAATGTTTTAAAATGTTATTTTAAACATTGAGAAGGATGAGATTTTCAACAAGTGAGTCATTAAATTATTTAACTTATTTTCAATAATAATATAAACTTGTGTTTAAAAATAACGAATGGATGAAATGCAATGCATTTAATTTAGCTTGTGAAATTTATTCGATAAATATTATTTTCCTATTAATCATAATTAATTATTAATGAAAAATAAAAAAATGTCAAATAAAATAATTGTGTTTAGTAAAAGAAAACTGTTTAGTTTTAAATTTTTAATTTGTGTTCAATTTTTAAAAAAATTGTTTTACTTTTCTTTTTCTCCCTGTTTGAAAATAAATTTATTAAATGTCATTTTGTAATAAAATGTTGTCTTAATTTTATTTTTTTCAAAGGAAAATGTTGTCTTAAAGTTAATGGTTAACAAAATTATTTTAAGACACTTCTTGTATTGTATTGCATTAATAGCTGCATTGATGTTTTAAATATCAATATAGTAAATTTTGTCATAAAGATACTGGTTTAACAAATCGTGTAAAGATTTTCTTACTTAATTGTTTCCCTGTACTGTATTGCATGAATGTATGCATACTTGAAATTGATGTTTTAAATATTAATGTAATTAATATGAAGTTAAGCGATTTAATTAAGTAATATTGAATCATAATTTAATTATATAATGTTCTTTTAATTAAAATATGGAATAATTAATTGACATTTTATACTGTAACCGTTTTAATTTTAATTTACTAAACGTGACTTATGTTTGAATAATTTTTTTTAGAAAATGAGTGTTACTTTCTTATTATATTAATATAAAATTATAAATTATGTTGTAAAACGTTATTTAACAAAATAGTCTTAATAAAACGTTTACTAACAGTGACACTTCTTTTATAATATAATGTCAATACTAACCTGTTCAATTATATCTAAGTAATCATACTAGTACCTTTTATCTTTTAAAAATGATAATATTAATTAATAATTAATGAATCTTAATATAGAATATGATATATTTTAATATTTTTCTTAAGAGGATATAGCATATACTTTAACCAGTCTAAACACCAAGAAACCTTAACGAAAATGGACTGTGATATTTTTAAGGATGTTTGCTCTTTCTCTCCGTTACTTTAAGCATTATTATTAACTGGTTTTATACGTTTTGTTTTTAATTGAAAATTTCTAAAAATATAGTTTAAACACTAAACATGTTTATTTTAAAGTTAAGGTTTATTTGATAATTAATTTTTTTTTAGTTTTTCAGAAATCTTAAATTAAAAAATATGTTTTTATATTTGATTTATCTTTTATAAAAAAATATCTTACAAAATCAAGTTTTTTCAAAAAAGTTCTGATGAAATAATAATAATAATATCTTTAATTTTATTATTGTATTTCACCATGTGTTGGATAGAGTACTTTTAATAGTCAAAAGTTTTATCTTTTATATATAACAGTCGGAGAATTGAACTTGATTTCAATATTAATTATTTAATTTATATTTTAGTATTAAATTAAAAATTATGATTAATGGTCAATACTTAACTATTTTTTTTTATTTTTAATTAAAATTTCTCATATAAAATATCATTATTCTGTTTCATAGTATCTCAACTAAGATAATACATAATGAAAATATGTTTTATACACTCAATACACAAAAAATCATATAAACTAACTTATAGTGGAAAATCGAGAAACATGTGATTTATTGATAAATCGAAAAAATGGACGAGAAATCATTAGATGTTCAATTAGAAGTGCGAGACACATAAAATCGAGAGGTAGAATCAAGAATCGAAGGAATAATAGTTAAATGTCTATTGTCGAAAAAAAACCAAGAAATTAGAAGTATATGACGTTAAGGTTAAAAGGAATCGAAAACAATTCAAAGATTCTCGAGATCTTAAAATCGAAGTTGAGAGGAAGATTAACTTACGAGGATATCGAAACCTTGGCCAAACCATAAAGAGAAGAATAGTTAAACACGCAGATAGGAAACAGTTTTCAATCATGGTAGAGGTCGAAGATCATGGGAACGTGGGTGCGGTTTTAATATTACAGAAAAAGAAACCGCAACATACACGAAGAACGTGGTAGCAGCTTCGTTAACTGCTCCTAAGAGACTACTTGAAAGATGACCTATAAATAGAGCAAAAGATGAGAGGAAAAGGGAGCAGAAAATTGGCAGAGAACAGAAATACTAGTGAGAGGTCTATCGGAGAACGATGAACATCATGAAGTTTCTGGCGATCTGGATTTCCACGCTCATTGAGTACCTTTACCGCTTTCTTTATTTTCCTTGGTAATTTACTTTGATGCAGTTTATCTTTAGCAATTTAAGTTTTTGTATTTTCGATTTCATGTACTTTCGATTTCGATGTCATTTACACTTAATGCAATTTAAGTTTCTGTATTTTCGATTTCATGTACTTTCGATTTCGATGCTTTTACACTTAACGCAAATTTGAGGTTTCCGCATTTTACATTCCTTCGCAGTTTTACATTCGGTACTGCTTTTCGATTTGTCACTTTACTGTCTCTTTCTCTTCGAGTACTATAAATCCAAATACAAAAAAAAAATAGTGTTTTCGATAAGTCACAACATGTTAGTAGGATTTTCTCGATACTGTGGTATTTTTTATTCTCATATACATTTCGATTGAAAAAAAACATTTGCTAGCCTAAGTATAAAGAATCTACGTGGTTGAGTTTTGATTAGAACCAAAACCTCTTCAGAATCGAAATTAATCGAAATTCCACCAGAAACAAATTGGCGCGCCAGGTAGGGGGTAGTCTTGTGTTAAAAACACAAATTTGGTTAGTTCGAGAGTGAATGAGATTAAGGAGTGGGCGAGTTATAAGAATGAGTCAAAATTCATCAAATAACCAGAGTAACAGTGAGGGTCTAAATGGTGCACATTCACCAAATACTGGGGGGCAAAGTCATAATGGGAATATGCCTGTAGCATCGACAACTGCGAGCATGTCGATACCTGTGGGTAATGAACAAAATTCAGGCACCTTAGCAAACACCCAAGTAGGATCTAGTACGGTGGTACCAAATAATATGCAAACTATGGGAAACCCCGTAACAACATATGTAGGGCCATATATGAGTGTAAGACCGCCCGGGTTTTCACTTAACAATATGAGTGGGGCTGGAACTTCTTCAACACAGAGGAATTCGAGATATAACTTAGGAATGCCTCAAACACTAGGTATGCCGCAAAATTTCGGAGTCCCTCCGAATTTAGGGACATCCCAAAACTTAGCAATCCCCCAGAATTCAGGAAGTGGACAGAATTTAGGCACACAACAAACACCTCTAAATCTAGATCATAGAGGAAATCTGGATCATGGGAGATATACATTCGTTAGAGATTATCATCGATCCAACTTTGAGACTATCGAAAACACTGGTACTGGGATATCCAGTAACTCATTAGGAGTACTTAGACAACAAATGGATGAGAGCAATTTTGAGATGGTGAATATGTTATCACAACAGTTGACTACAGTCCTAAATCCATTAGTTCAAAACACTACTGCTAGTTTTGAGATATTAGCAGACCAAATGTCACGAATCGGGGATGCATTGGCTGTACCTCGACGAACAAGGGTAGAAAATCATGCTAACTAGAATGCTAATATCAATCCCCCGTATCTATTGAGGAGAAATCGAAACAATGATCAACATCAGCACATGGGGAATGAATACCAACAGTTGAGGAATGATATTTGTGGAAATCTGAATGAGGGATTTCAAAATATGCACAATCAGAATAACATGCAGCATAATCACATGCAGCATAATCACATGTTAGTTCTCTGCCAGTTTTGCCTATCGAAATAAATATTGAATCGAATCGAATACAGAGGCAGAATGATTTACCCAGTTGTGATTACTGGAACTTGATGTATGATGAATTAAATGAACTCGATGAAATAAGATCGCAGGCGTTGAATAATATGATTTTACAAAAGAATCAAATTGCTCGAATTTACAATAAGAGAGTTCGAAAGAAAACGTTTAACGAAGGTGACTTGGTGTGGAAAATAATTTTACCGATGGACAAGAAATGTAAAAGTCATGGTAAATGGTCGCCAAATTGGGAAGGGCCTTTTGAAGTTATTAAAGTATTATCGAGTAACGCTTATTCGATTATCGATTGGTACAACAAAGATAAAGTGCTATCGATAAATGGCAAATACTTGAAGAAATATAAACCTCGAATGAGAGAAATAAACATTCAACATTAATTGGAGTAGAATAATGTTTACAAAGATAAGTACTGAGTCTTAAGGTTATCGAAATCTATTAACAATTGCCCCCAGGAAGAAGAAATCGAGTTATCTTCGGAGATCAACCTATGTTTACGCTCCATGCTCTGCCCAAGAGATAACGCCATGTCCTTCGCAGAGGTTTTTATAGAATCAATCTCTGACGTAAGAAAATCCTTCTGCGACTTCAGCTGATTTAGTCTCTTCTCCAACTCCTCGATTTCACTATCAACCGAAGCCAGCGCCGTCGATGCTTCCTCCAGATTGAGCTTCTGAGTCTTC